TTAAAGGCGACATATGCGTTGAATAATCGCTGAATCTGCTCGCCCGTTAATTCGGGTTCGAGAAGATCTGATCGCAATATCACCACGATGATATCAAGGTCCTCTTCCTCGGCCTGGCGTCGGATTTCCTTCTTGATGTCTTCCTCGGCATTTGTGTACAATTTGATCTTTTCAGTGAATACGGGGTCGCCAATCTTGACATCCAATGCGTCAATAGATCTCTGGAAGCTTCGGATGCCGTCGTGCAATGCGAGGGAAAACATTCGCTGCATGAGTGATCGGGCTCCGAAGGGTTGGGCAATGAAAATGTCCAGTATACCGGACATGACTGCTGCGGGATTTGCGATTCGGATGACATTCTTAATGACGGTGTATGGAACGAGCGAGTGAATGCGTTTGGCTTGAGCAAACATATCGGCCGAGTTGTCTTCGGCCAAGAACAGGTGATATACAACGGCAGCGATTTCGATCCTCAGCCATTCGGCAAACTTACGATACTGAATGCTGAGATCGCCAATCGTCTGTTTTTCCTTAATCTCTTTGAACAAGAGCGTAAGGCCGTTGCGTTCGACGATATCCCGCCGGAACCTATAACTTAATATCAGAAAAGGGTCGTCAAGGGACTCAGGGGAGGCACTAACTGTTCCATATACTCATCAAGCTCAGCAGCACGCCTCCTAGCAATCTCATAAAATTCCTTTTGCTCCTCCATACGCTTCTCATCAAGTGCTTTGCGCCTCAAGATATCTTCGACGTCCTCGTCTGACGGTGTGATGGGGTCACCACTGAAAAAGTCCACCATTGCCTTGGTATTGGCGATTTGGGGGTTGTGCAAGAGAGATCGTAGGAAAGCGCGGAGTGAGACTCTCTGGTTCTCACGCCAAAGGACATACTACATATCGTGTTAGCTCTCTTCACTTCATACAAGCTGCGTAGGCGGTAGATGCCAACCTCCTGTTTCCCATTTGGAGTACCTGCTCCAGAGCTTACTTGACCATCGACAGATGGCCGAGGTGAAGCTACCTTCCTCGAGCGGTTTGATTTGGATGATCTGATTGATCCTGGGCCACGTGAAGCTATCGCATTAGTTAGTTAGTCGGCGACTTTTCATCCTTATCGATCGTGGGGAGAACAATGGTGCTCGGCCAAGTACTTACCTCCTCCCCCAGGAGTTAGTAGCGACACTCCGCCCAAGTTCTGGGACAGTCTACTCGTCCTCCGAGTTGATTGCGAAGACACAGAGGAGGCGTCGGAGTCGTTTCCTGTAGTAAAGCTCGGCAGCAGCCCACTTGTTCGCGTATCCGACTTGTTCTTCTTCGGCAGTGAAGGTATGACTCTCCCAGGCAGTTCGGTGCGCAGTCTTCGGTGCAATTTGCTAAAGTCTCCATATCGGCGCCCGACAAAGTGTTCCAGCTCGCCCTTCCTTTTGATTCGGAGAATGAACTCGGCGTGCTTGTGGTATCTAATGTTGCGCTTGACCGAAGTGACGCGAACGCCGGCTACATTTACGTCCCAGCCGTTGATGTAGTTTCCTTCGGGGAGGGTGTTCATAACGCCCCTGTCGATGGCGTTGCTATCTACGATTTCGATTTCCGAAAACTTGATGCGCTCTTCGAACCCGGACGAGGTGGGAATGCCAGAAACCATCATAAGCTCGACCAACTTTTGCGTCTTGATGGCTAGCTTCCGCCGCTTCGTTTCCTCCAGACGGTCTTCGGACGAGGAAATTTGCTTCGTGGCAAACGACTCGAGAAACTGTCCCAGGCGTGTCAGCATAAAATCATCCTCACAGTATAGCGGCGCAACGTACCACTTGGAGCCTGTCTTGCCAAAACTCCTTCTCCCTAGCCTTGTCGAGAAACGGGAAATCGCGAACATGGTGGACAAATATGTATCGCAGAATCGGCAGCTCGGATTCCTGAGGAGAGACTTCACCCTGTTCCGACTTGAAAGGCGCACCGAAGCGCTGCAGGGCCGTGGGGGAATTGAGCTCGCTGATCTCCCACTTGACTTGATCTCCGATGAGCTCCCTCTTCAAGTCTATTCCATGCGATCGTTGGTTAGCTCTGGCTCCATCGCAACGAGAAAAGCATCAAACAAGGGGAAGAAACATGAAGAAACGCACAGTGCTCCTGTTTTCCCGTCAGCGCATTGCTGCTTGATGCGGGAGCGACGTCCGAGCCATTGGCGCGAATGGGCAGAGAAACAGCAGCGCCGCTATCGGGCAGTTCCTGTTCGGCAACTGTCATGGCCGAGATCCAATATGGCACCAAAGGAGGGCGATCGCAGAAGACGAATAGGCGCAACCCGAGGATGAGGAAATCTGGGCGTTTGCGAGTCTCGGATGACAGCAGATGTCACAGCCGCCGTCAGCCAGAGGATGAGGAGCCGGCTGAATTCTTGGCGGGGTAGCTCAGTCGCTAAGAAATCGTGGTAGGAAAACGTCTGTGTCCGAATCCGAGGAATATGTAAGCTCGAGACTGGGCGGGTTCGCCTAAATAGCAGGGCGCAAAGCTGCAGAATCGAATCGCGGTCACAATTGTGATTTCGACAAGAGGTGAGGAGGGGTGGTGAGGGGGGAACGTCTTGGCCAGGGAACTATTAACCTCCTAGTAGCTGCTATACTTTTGCAAATCTCGCGCACACAACGAACGAAAGAGAGAGAGAGAGAGAAAGACGAAGAGTCTAGAATCGTGGCAATGGCCCGACTATTAAGAGGTGATGATGGAGAGGAAAAATCACAAAGAGAATCCAAATAGTGTTACCGAAACATCACATCAAATCCACAGCCCTGTTGCGCCCCATAATTATTACTACATGCTACATGCTACATGCTACACTGCAGTCGTCCTCGCAAGTATCACGGCGATGCAGGTGGATGATTTACCGTTATCCTACTGGTAAGCAAATGCCTGCATGGGCGCAGTTTCTGGCCCAGAAACATGACGTTGGACTGCAGCATCCCAAGCCACTTGGTTGCTGTAACCGCCGCACCGCTGCACATTTTCGGCCCCTCCTCAGCCGCCTGGCCGAGTGCCGAGAGACATTAATTCCAACTAATTCCATCCATTCGCGCCGCGACTTGAGAGAGAATCCATGCACTGCAAATTTCGTTTCCTCGCACGCAAGCAGCAAAAGCAAGGAACAGATCCATGGCAGCGGCATGGCTTCAGTATGACATCACTAGCTTAAGGCGCAGGCGTAGCGTGATGGTAGATTTTATAATTTTATAGGCTCCCCAAGGAGCGATGTGGCTACTAATCCAGCACCCTCAGCGGCAACGGCGTTGTTGAAATGTCATAGAACGATACAAAAGTATCAAGATGATCTAATAAGATTTTCCCCTTTAATCTGACAGAATGTCTTTACAACATCTGCTACTGTCACCACCATCTTCTACTAGCTGATACTATCACCGCTACGTTATGGACCCCATTTTATACAACTCTTCTTTCTTACAGGGTAGCCCATTCGACACAAATGAAAAAGGAAACAAAAGAACGGAGCCAGCGGAACAAAGTCACAAGCCGCCCAGACTCAATCCTGGCGCCATGGCCCAGCAAAATAGCCGCTTCCGCCGCCAAGATCCCCCCAGCCACATCAACTAAGGTACTAGAAGCATGCCGAGAAAACACACAGCGGCAGATCCATCCCAACATACTTTTTTGTTTCTAAACACGTATCTCAAAGACAGACATTCTTTGACAGCCACTTCTCTCAGCGAAATTAGAGAGGGGAAGCAAAGGGGTAAGAGAGAGAGAGACCAAGGTAATCTCGTCTGATAGAACTCGACAAAGAGCTCTTAATCAAGCTCATTTCTGCTGTCGTGATTGTATCATCTGCACACAACTGCGTATAACTCGGCTTGTCAAATGCATGTTCGGTGTTAAATCGCGGGCCTTGGCGCCAAGTTGGCAGTGCGGGCAAACATGACCCAGCTTCAAGAGAAGAAGAGACTAATCAGTTTTTCTATGCTTCACTCACGGGCGTCTTTTCGTTCTTTCAATACAAGTGGGAAGATCAAAGGTACATGTACATTGATGAAATACTACAGTACGAGTACAATACTGTGATCAAAGAGCACGGCGTTGATCTTAGTACAACAAACACGATCTACAGAGTACACGACTGCAGTTTGTTGTACACACAAAATGTCCAGTCCAGAATAACCATCAAACCTCTCATACGCATCATCGCAATTACAACTTCCCCACACTACACTGACTTCTCAAACCGCCGACTCTTGTACCAACACCAACGGCCCATTGTCTTTCTCCATGCTTGGCCGATCGGCAATTCTTTGCAATTAGGATATTAGGATATTCTGTATTACCCATAGTCTGTCCTTTGTCTTCATACCTATCTATCTTCGGAAGACAGTCCCATCTTACTGCCCCCCTGGCAAAAGAATAGTTGCACTACCACCTAGTTGTTGAGGCTGCTTATTAGTGGCAGCGTCATGGCATGTACAGTAGCAGCTGCATCCAAAGCAGGCAGGTAATCTTACAATTCTGCACGTCTCTCGTTTGCCCAGCCAACCAGCCGACCTTGGCTCTTTGTCCCAATCCAACTCGAAAGCCCAGTAGCAAGCCCGAAACACCGGCTGAGCAACAACGCACAAACCTCGGGATGCTTGGCTCTTCCTCAGCTCCACTGTGGCAGTGAAGCCGGCGCAGGGTTTGCCAGGTCCGGTACCGTACGAGTAGCCAAAACCAAAGCAGTGCTACACGTCCGTTCTCCGCATATCGCTAGCAGTGGGCTAAGTTGTTGCTCGGTGACGCCGACAGCTGGTCTCGTGCCAAAGCGGCTCCTGTCCCCCGAGCTATTGATGCAAAATCCTGTTGGCGCTGTCGATGCCGGTGCTGTGCACCTAATGTGTATGGCTTTGGCCGCTCTGCGTCTTGGCAGTGCGATGGCTTCTCGAGTTGCTTTCGCTCCGTACAGTGTCGACAAGTTTGTTTGGTTTTGTTTGGCATTCGCCAGTCGCGGTTGGGCCCAGGTCATAGCTCATCGAATATCCGTAACGGCTCGTCTGCTAGTGGTGTTTCCCACGTACTCGTCGTCTCTGGTTTGTCGTCGTGGTTGTTTGCTGTAAGCACCTGCTCAACGCTTTGATGCTGTCCCTTGAACTCGGGCGTGGTATTTCTCCATGCGCCCCGAGCTCCAGAGTCGGCCTGTGCGACGGCGCCGCGGGAATTGTAGCTGAAAGCCATGAAGAGGAGGCCAACAATGCAAACAAGGACTGACAGAGCCGCCCAGATGAGCCTCAGCCGCTTGCGCGTCTTCTCTTGCCACGCCCTGTCGGCGCGCTCCCAGCCCTCGATTTGTTTGCGCACCACATCCACTCGCTGTGCTAGCTTGTCGGCGGTCTGCCTTCCCAGGTGTATGCGACTCTGGAGAGTCTCGATCGTGGACTGCTGTGATTCAAAGTGTCCAATACCGCGTAGCTGCTCTGTAACGTCCGTCTCGAGCTCGCGCGTGGCCATGTCGAATCCTTCTTGGAGGTCACACGACGCCTGCGCGAGGTCCTTGAGGGCCTTGACCATGACCTGCAAGCTGCTTGTCTTCTCCAGCAACGCATAGTGTGTCTGGTCTAGCTGTCGGGTGGTTTCGGTCGAGAAGTTGCTGAGCTCCGTGAGAGACTGCCGCAGGTCACTATAGTAGAGGAACCAGTATTAGCATGTATGTAATCTTACGTCTCGCAGCATATCGCCCATGATGACGTCTTACTCTGTGCTGGAAGATGCCTTCTCCTTGCCATTTTCCTTGTTCTTTTGGAGCTTCTCCTTGACCTTTTCCTTTTCCTTTTCCTTGTCCTTGTTGTCCCTGTCCCTTTCCTCCCTGCCCAGCCGCCCAAAGTCCAGCTTGTCGTCGCCGTCCTTTGAAATCAAGAGACTGGCGCGCCGGCTGTGGATCGGGCTGATGATGGGCGTCACCGGCCCCGACCGCGGCACGTCAACTGAGCGGCGCATCCTGTGTGCCTGTGTCTGTATCTGGGGGAGTGTTGGCGTCTCATCGTCGTCCAGCCTTTTCCGGGCCTGGAGTTTATCGCCCATGACCTCCGTCGCCGACCGCTGGAGAACGTGCCGCACAGGCCTGGCTGGGGCTGCAGCTGCAGATGGAGACTCGGGCAGGTTTTGGGTCGACATTGCCGCTGGTTGGACCGTCAGAGGGGCCCCCTTTTCCATCCGAGCATCGTGCATGCATTGCGTCCAATTAGTTATCCACAAAACTTGAGGCCGGGCAGGTTGAACATACCGCCAGCAAAATTAAGTGGGGCATTGCCCGGCAGCAAGCAAAATGACGACAATCCAGTTCACATGTTCATGACCTGTAGTTTGCTGATCACTTGAAGCTGTAAAAGACATGTGAGCAGTCACTCTACGTAGAATTTTAATCATTATTCATTTTCAATGTTTCCATACATACTTCATTTATGTTTCACCTTTTGAAAGTTCCTTCTTTGCTTTAATCTTTTATTGTCTCGGCAATTCCGCCTCAAATATTTGTTTGTTCGTTTAATCAATGTGCTCCCCAACGCCATGCAAATGCAAGACCTCCAAAAAAACTATCCGCCCATACCTAAGCATGCAAGGACTGCCCCATGCCATGACTCGATGTTGTAAGATGTAAGATGCAGGTCCATAGATATCCAAGTCCCAACGTAGCTCCAAAGAAATCCCAGCAAAGTCCCACAGTCTGGCGAAACCAAGTAATATCGATCATTCTAGCATGAGGTACTGGGCATATGATGCAGGCAAATCCGCAAACAGACCTGAGCAGCTAGTAGTCCCATTGTAGTGCAGAACGAAAATAAGACCAAGTTCAGACTACTGCGAGCAGTGACTGGAGTCCATGGCGGTGAAGAGCTTGTCGGTACAACCCCCGTCCAACTGCTTGCGGTGCTTGCTGCTTCCTGGCCGTCCAAGTCCGGATGCCACAGTGCGCATCCGCTGCAAGCATGAGGATTCTGCATACCGCCAGTACGAACATGTAGAATGCACCACGGGGTTTGCCGATGTAGTCTGATCCCAGTGTCTTTCGTCGGCGTGGATTCTCGGCTCATGAGTTCAAGAGCTTGTTTCGCTTCTCCTTGCGCTTCAATCTCTCCACTCGCTTGCGGTGCATCTTCTCGGCCATCTTCTCGTATCTTTCTCTCTCTTCCTTCTTTGCTCGCTTATCCCTGATGGCTTGGATCCGTCGCTGCGGGTTTGTTTGTAAGTAAACGCACTATAGATCAATCAACTCGCCAAAATGCGAAGCACCACGTACCTGGCGCTCTTCCTCCTTCTCCTCCTTCATCTCCTTTTCCTTTGCCTTCATCTGCGCCATTGCAGCCCGCTCCTTAGTCCTCTGCTCATACGATGAGAGGCCTTTGGTCGGGCGAAACGCCTTCTTCGGAGCATGCCATTGCATTCCTGTGGCCAATGTTAGTAGGGACCAGTGGTGGTGATGCGCCAGGCCGGGATGCGCGTACCATTCTTGCGCATGCCATAAGGCTTTGTTGCCTTTTCAACCTTCTTTTCGACTGGAGTCTCCATTGTGGACATTTTGCCTTGTCCGATTCCTGATGAACTGGAGATCAAGCGACAGTTTGAGCAGTCTCCTCTTTGCGCCAGTTCACCAACCTTTTTTTTTTTTTTTTTGCCAGACAGCTATTGATGTGGGGCTAAGGCGGTGAGGGGTTGAAGCGTTTCTCCACCCAGGGGATCTTGACATTGTGAGCCTTCGAACTACAGTAAGGTACGCCAGTTTAGTGCCTTTCAGTGCAGTTTTAGCGGAGGATTCTCCGTACTATCAGGTACAGTTCCATCTGTCTTCTGGAACGGATGCGGGTTGCATTCGCCTCATCCGATGGTTGCACAACATCAATGACACATGTCTGGCGCTCGAGTACCAGACAGTACGTGGCAGCCTCGTCCATTTTGCCGGCACCACCTATTTAATTAGTACCTTGTAGGTAAATTGCACAGTTAATGATCAATTCTCTACCAGGATGGACACAACTTTCAAGCTGAAGCCGCGGTCCACCTCTCAAGGCCTCGCCGTCCATTCACACACTGACAACGCAGAACTACCCGGCATCGCATTGTGTTGCGCTGCAGATGCAGGGGCGTCCGTACCGCTCCGATCTTTACGAAGACGAAGACGAGGTATCGTGCAGTAACATGACCTGCCCTGGCCAGTGAAGATGACTCTTCAGCAGGTTCCTGTAAATAAGCTGATGAATTGATCTTATTTGCTCCTGCACAAACCTGTCTGCAGATGTAACATGCCAGCACATGAATTTTGCCTATATTACTACAAGTATACGAACCAAGCTACGGCATACGTGATGTAATTGACAATCATGCCCAATAACATTTCTATTTACAACAAGCAAACCGGCGTCATAAGCGATAAAGGGGCAAGCTGTTCAACGTTGCTACCTGTACGAGTACTCCGTAGCTTCAGCATCATCGCAGGAGATTCCCAGACAGCCTCAGGCTGACGCCTCGCTAACATGTCCTGAACATGTCTATTTTTTAATTTGCCTTGTTTCAGGCTCCAAGTTAATCTTCAAACATCCGCCGGGCGATCGGTGGATTCATTAATATTTCCCAACACAAAACAGAAAAGGGTTTTGTGCCACGTACTCCCTTGTCGCTCACGATATTAACAGAGGCTGAGACAGGTGATTGCATGGGGACGTGCCCTGTGCTCTGTCCATTAATGCAGGTACCGCTAATACATCAATTCAACACTGTACTGTACAGCTGCTAGTAGGTAGCAATTCGTCGAGGTTTTACGAGTGCGGCCATATCATCAAACACAAGGACAAGCCCTTCTCGTAAGTATGACAGCATGATCTATTGCAACCTCGATCCCGTTGCCATGGAGAGCTTCCGGTTTCCATGTATCGATGGCTCTGTCACTGGGAAAATTACTTTTTCCTCCCTAGTGACAAGTTCCATTCGGATTATGGACCCCTGGATGGTGGAGACTTGACGGGAAGGGATTCCCTTGTGGGCTACTCGTACTAATAAGGCCTCCCATCATCCAAAGGGCAGTGGTTTGGGCCATTTATTGGCAAATTGCCGTAACAACAAGTTTCTTATGCGTCCTTCAGCTGAGGGCAAGCAGCAGGGCTAAAATTTTCCGTCAGCCTGCATATCATGTATCAAACAAGACACCATCAATCAGCCCAAGGAAAAAGTTCCGTAGCTTCAAGGTTGTTGGAAGAATTCAAGTAAGTGTTAGTGGTCACTCAGGTACGAAGTACTCGTACTGCTAGGTAATTAGCACGGAGCACGCAGTCACATCGTCCACGGGTACATGTTAGCACTAAATGAGCTAAATGATGAAACACGAAGAAGGGCCGGCGGGCCGGTTTGCTGCCAGGCTGTCGGCGAAAGAACAAAAAGAAAAGAAAAGGAATACCTGCAGAATAAGAGAGAGAAGGAATCAAAACACGCGGGTTGGCTGGAAGGGTTGACCGAAGCCAGCTGAGCCCGTGAGGCTAAGATTGTCCGAACACCAGGTAGGTGTCGATTACGACCGCGGATAGGCGCAGACCAAATTGTTGATTGCATCTTGCACCCAACTGCGGCTAGGAAGAGTTGATCCGTATCTGCGGACGTCTGATTGGGGCCTCGTACCGCCTCGATGCCCCTGTCTGTGGAGCCTGGTGTCAATGTGCCGCATGAATCTACGGAGTACGGGTACAGGTCCTGTATAGGGCAGGGCAAGGCAGGGCAAGGCAAGCAAGGCAAGCAAGGCAAGCAAGGCAAGGCAAGCAAGGCAAGGCACCGTGACAGAGACTCTGTGTTCCTGTCTTGCGTCAAAAGTTCGATTGCCGATGGGGCTCGTGACCAAAAGGAAGCATCCATAGAATCGACGATGGCCCTGCCCTTCCCGTCAGCCCCAGCTGATGGGCCTCCAAGGCAAGGGAGAGAGAGAGAAGGGAACGCCGTTGAGGGCTGTGGGCGACATTGCGCACTCACTCTGGATGACGGACTGCAAGCGATGCACTGTATTTGCATATACCACCACCTCTTTACGGGTCACGAGGTGGCCATGGACAACCACAACGGACCGGCTAGGTGCCAAGATGGACGTAGTATTACCACCAAGGCAGGAGATGGCCATTTATCCATGGATCAATAGTGTGCTTGTTGACGCCTGTTATGCAAGCTGACAACAATAGGAAGGCGATTTAACATTGGGCTCGCTTGTGGTTTTTTCTTCTTTTTCTTCCATCGCTGCCACGTTGAATCTGTTGGGCGCTTCCTTGTGATCTCGATACGCAAGGGACCTGCCTGAGTTGTCCAATAATACTACCTCGAGAGCCAGGCTGGATGGGGTGATTTTTGCCTCCCCCAGCTGCTACATATCTTGATCTCTCTTGAGGCTGTTGCCCGGTTGCAAGACTAGGCAGACTGGCTAATACCAGTAGTTCCAGTTCCGGGGTGATGCGGGAGCACTACGACAATGCGTGTGAGTGCTAACTTATTAGCGCTTCGTACTCAGTAGCAGTATCTCTGACTTGTCTTGTACATTGATGCAGCAATTGATAGAAGGGAGGGCGTGGAAGAAGCCTACTCGTACTTTGCATGTAAACAGCGCACTTCGCATGCAAGGCTGCTTTTGGTTGCCCGCAACTGAACGGTTGTGTCTTTTACTGAGTCCCGTGAGCAAAACAGACGGACCTTCTGGGCTAGAAGAAATACGTACCAGGTACATGCACTTATCGGCCCTGTACCTTAGTACATGTAAGGGGACACCACCACCACGAAGCACACGCAAAAGGGCTGACAGGGACATTTCGAGATTCTGCCAATGGCAGCGGCAGGCGGCGGCTGGGGATGCAGATGGCCTAGAATAGATCCATGGGTCATTCTGACTTGTCTTGTTCCTATGCTCGTGCTAATGTCCCTGTTGTAGACGTGCCTTAGTGCTGGCCCGCACCACGGCACTGTGTGGGCGCGCGCTGAGTTCGTTCGCTAAAAGCACAACTGCAATGGAGGAGGCATTTACGAGTCCAAGTAACGGTGGCGAATGGCGGTCTTGACGGGCGGTTGGTACCTTTAGTACCTTTGTGGCTGTTCCCGAGGCAGGGAGGTACCTTGGGTACTAACGCAGGTACTTAAGCGTGTTGAGACATTCCAACTGGATCGCGTCCCCCGGCAAGGTACCTGCTCAGGTACCTACAGGCACTCGGACTGCCCTCTTGTACTCGCACTTGTACCGTCGAACCCATTTTGTGCACAAGGCCGCACAGGGTTAGCGCCGGCCAGCGTGCATGTGTACCCAGTACTTGTCGTAAGGGCTTGCTGAGATGTCTGGGGACAGACAATAATCCGCATTTCGCTGTGGGGACCGGGCCCTTTAGCGCGCTCGTACCCCGAGCAGTAGGTACCAGGCACACAGGCAGGGATCCATTGCTCCTGCTTGTCTTCCTCCAGTTTCCGGTCCCCCCCATATTTTCCATCTTTCTCTTCTTCCCAAAAATCTTCCTTTCTAATCCTATCCACGCCATCCAAAACTTTAACCATTTGGTGCAATTCCAGCTACGCTTTTCGAAGTTGTTGCTGGTTTTGGCCGTCCACTCATTTGCCCCGATTTTTGAACTTGATTCTCTTCAGCATTGCATTTTACCTTTTTTTTTTCTCTTCTTCTTTTCTATTCTCTTCACATCTTTGCCGCATCATTCGAGCCGCCGTTGATACGCTGGTACGCATCGCCAATCCCATCTCATCCTCCTTCTAGCGACGCAGCCGCCATCTGTGAATCGACCGCTCATGACTCTCTATAGACTCGGATTTTAATCAAATCTCATCTGCTTCGGCCTGTTCTATATCGCTATTGTACTTTTTCAGACGAAGAAACGGGAAGAAATCGGATAAAACAACGCCGCAACCGAACCCCCCCAACAAAGCACTGTCACCATAGCACATTCACGTCCTCTCTATGGTACACCATCATTCAATCTAGTCGCTCATCGATGTTATTGCCACCTTACGGCCGGAAGCAATGATGGCAACCGCACTCTACAGCCCCGAGCGAGCAGCCGTTGCTTCGCCTGTCCACAACATGGAGGGGGCTGTGGACTTTCTTGCTTCCTTGGACGACGCGACTACAACCTCTCTTGCTCAAGGATCCGCGTCTCATGGCTCCCTGCCTCCTCCTAATCCTCATTTCTCGTTCCCCGCAGCGCCACCCTCTCCGGCACACGACTCGATTGCCAAGCGGAGGCGCCCTCTGTCCGCAGTGGAAATGCACACAAGATCCCTCAGCATAGCTGTGGACAGTTCTCGACACGCTGCGCTACCGGCATTCAGCTTCAATCCCGGTGCCTCTCTTCCTCCAGATTCTCGCGCTTTCCTCAGCCCACCCCATTCTCCAAGTTCTGCTAAGCCCATCCCTGGATCTGCTGCCAATCGCCCCATGGGCCATGGGCATAGAAGGGGCGGCAGCGAGTTTGTTGGCGGTCGTCTTCGGGAAGGAAGCACAATTGCCGTCATGAGCACCAGCCCGCCAAAGAATGAATTCGACATGAGTACAGCCTCTCTGCAGCCACCACCACGCAGAGGACATCGCCGAGGCATGTCTGCCACAATTCCCGCAACTGACCTTCCGATTCTTTTCGCTCCACCCGCCATCGGCTCTCTGCCTCAAGGAAACAGTGCTCCCAACAGCCCTACAATATTCGGACGCAAGGATGATTTGCCTCTCATTGGCCCCGACTTCCCCTTGCCGGAGCCGATGCAGTTGGGAAAAGAAAAGAGTGCAGAGAATCCCAAGCCCTCTCATCTCGCCCCTGAAGAACCTTGGAAGATGGGCAAGCCGATGATGCGTGCGAGAGTTGGATTTTCGGATACGCTGGAATTCATTCCTCGACCGCTCTCACTGGTTTCAAATGATACGTCCAGCACTGTAACTGCACGACCCGGCCATTCAGTCTCTGGCAGTCTCTCCTCAATTGTCTCGATTTCTGAACTTAACAATCGAGACGGCTCTTCACCGCTAGCGCGGACACCAACTGGTGAACCTCAAGAGTCAAGACCAAGCACCGCCGGCGCCGTTTTGGAACGCACTGCAGAGCTTGAGCCGCCTACTTCTCCCCGCCGTCGAAACTCGATTCCTGCCCTCGTCAACATCGCCGATGCTGATCCTACAGACTCAAACATGTCAACTCCTACCAAACCTGCCAAACGTTGGTCCTTCTTTGGCTTAGACGCCTTCGCCTCCGGATCCCCCATGAAGAGGCGGTCAAGCACCTCCAGTTCTTCAGATTCTACGCCCCGCCCTATTGATGGAATTTCCTGCTCTGATCGTGGGTCGGAATCCTCATTAGAAACCTCAGAAGCTCCTCCTTCAAAGCCAAAGAAGGCAGGCAAAAAAGGCGACAAGAAGAAGAAGAGAAAGAGCAAGAAGGAGAAGAAGGAGAAAAAGGAGAAGAAGGAAGAGGAGAAGAGAGAGAAGAAGGAGGAGAAGGAGAAGAAGAAAGAGGAGAGCAAAGAGGAGAAGAAGGATGATAAGAAGGCTAAAGGCTGGGCGGGCACGATCTTGCCTTTGAAGAGCCACAAGAAGCGTGGCAAATCAAGCGCAGTTCGACCACCAACACCGCCAGCTTCTGTCTTCCATCCCGAAGATGAGGAAGAAGATGAACCCGAAAGCGTCACTCAAGAACCTTCAGTCGAACCACCCACAATAAGCATCACCGAATCGCCACCTTTACCTGAACCGACAAAAAGTCTGTCAGAGGATGTGTCCTATCCCATGATTGATCTTGATGCTGCCCTTGGCCCCTTCAACACTCCCCTGTCTTACAATCCTGAGTGGGAGGCTGCTCAACGTGCTGCAGGCACTCCGGGTAGCAGAAGACGCCTTCACAGTGCTCAAGGCTTGAAGGGCTTCAGTGGTCCTGGCATGCATTATCACCGACGCGCCGAGTCGGCTCCTGATCTTCCTCCCTTTGATTTCCGCTCCTCGATTCACCGATTCGGCAGCAGCTCCACCATGGCTGACGTGTTTGAAGAGGATGAAGAGGATGACGACGGAAAAGGCAACGCCAGATCTAGGCTGGAAACCAGTGAAGAAACCAGCGAGGAGTCTGATGGCGAGACAACGCCCCCCGCAGTCATGCCCATCCTGAAAGAGCCCTTTGTCGGTCCAAGCGACAAGGCCTTGGGCAAGATGCGCCGCGGAAGCGCAGGGATGGTTGAGAGAGAATCTTTCAGCTCGCACGCCACGCGGGCTGAGGTCTCCAATGTCCCATTCCAAGATGATACGATCATGGAGGAGTTTACGCTTCCCATCTTCCGAGCCCCGACATTCCAAGGCCGCAGGGAATCCGTCGACTCAGGAGCACCTTCAGCCCCATCTCCGAGACAGCGCCCTGCCACTGCTGAGTTATTAGTAGATGAGCCTCTTGCTCTTCCCAGTGCCAGTACCACGCCTCTCAGCCCCTACTCGGCTAGCTATGCTTCTTCCTCTCATCCCTCTCCACGGTCGCCAATGTCAATTGACGCCCAGCGCATTTCCACCGCGCCCTCATCCGTCACTGACGACAGCTTCCACTCTCTCCTCATGGGGGAGCCAGGGCCTGAAGTCAGAATCTCAATGGATTACGACATCCCGTCCCTTGCATCCAGCAACTCCGCCATGACCCGTGACAGCACTTTCATTCCTGTCCCACGACCCCGTCAACCTCTCTCCCGTGATCAACGTCCCGTGTCCATGTCCGCCCCCTTTGGACGCAGACGATCCAGCTTGGCAAGCCTCAGCCGGCTCATTAGCAGCTCTCATGGCGAGAGAAGCAAGCTCTCCATGGAAGTCACCCTAGATAATGAACCGGAATCGAAGAAATCAAAGAGCAAGACCAAGCGGCTGGGACGGATGATGCAGTTTTGGAAACCGAGCAAAGATGATAAATCGATCCAAGATGATAAATCCGCTTGAATTTTACAGCGAAGAGGAGAGAGGCACGAAGAATTTACGAAGCAGAGTTTCGCCGACTGAAACTCTGCTTTGACGAACTTATATGTATTCTATGTAGCGCATGCTTTCAAACCAAAAAAATCCTTTTTTCGCCTACGCCTTATGGACACTGGATCTATTTGAAGCCTTTTTCATCGCCGTGTGCTCGCGAGTCATTTATTGATTGAAGATATGCCGAAGCCAGTTTGTGAAAGGAGTCGAGATTTTTTTTCTTTATTAAAGCAGAGACTTGAGAAGATGTTGTCTCATGTTTGCGATTTCTCACAATGAGCTCTACAAAGAGAGTCGTCACCGCACATAGCGGGTGCGAACAGGGAACTGGCGTTTGACGATAAGCATGAACATTGCTATTTTTGCACGATGAGTACATTTTTTGTGCTCTTTTGATTTTTTAAAACCAATCTATTTTTTTTTTCTCTTTTTGGCCTTTGTTTTGGATGGTTGGCGGATCAGGAGGGGAAGTTGGAAGGGTTTATGGAGAAGGAATTTCGACGAAAGCAATCATGTCGAATTTGGAATTTTTTTTTAACTATTATTCGTGGTACTCTGGGACCTCGGGCAATTTCAAATCTGGAGATCACTGGGTGGTATGCAAACGTTCAAGGTCAAATGGGAGGGCCATTTGCTTTTTTTTTGACGAATGAGTTTGCCGATTTGGCTGCTGATAGAGTTGCTTCTTTTTTATTGAAAGACATATTCATAGCAGATTTAGCTAGTGGAATTGAGTGCTGAACTGAGCGAAGTTTTAAAAAGAAAAACAATTTATAACATTTAAATATTTACTTGTGACGACCGTTTCTTTGTGATTGGTAATTGAGTCTCCCTTACTTTACGATGAATCGCATGTACAGTATTGGTAAAAATTGTATTTAATTGTAGATACCGAGGTAAATGTAAATGCCCAAGTATCGACCAAGTAGGATATAATGTTGCAAACAGTTTGCTCTGTCTTTGATACAAAAAGAGTCATAAGCCGTAACACGTCATAACATGGTGAGAGATAGAATGGTAAAAAAAGAAAAGAAGAAGAAAAAAAGTCGTATCCAGTCGTATGCCAAAGACAAACATCAATCCTCCCAACGCCGTCCCCATCTCGTCACATCGTCACACAATCAGGGCTCTCTCCTCTGGTGCTATGAGAAGAACTTGGACACGCCCTTGCGGAAACCATCCATCATGCCGCCCTCTTGGCCGCGATCATCGTAGTAGCTGGCCTTGCGCTCCCACTGTAAGTCGCCGCTGCGGCCGCGCTCGACACGAGAGCCGCGGGCATACGACTGGCCAGCGGCATTGACATATGACTGTCCTGCGGCATTGGCAATGGCGTTGCCGCTGGCGTTGACGTTGCCGTTGCCATACTCGCCGGCCATGCGCACAGCGTCGCCGACGGCGCTGAAGGGGTCGCCTGTTGCGGCGCGCTTGGCCACGCCCAGCATGCGCTCGAGCGAGGGCGGGATGCGGAGGCCAAAGCGCGCCAGCAGGGCCGTCAGGGCGCCTCCGGTGACGAGGGGCAGGATGACGAGGAAGAAGACCTTCCACGGGTGGCGCTTGGCGTAGTGCTGCAGGTCGCGGAGGAGTCGCTTGAGTTGCTTGATGCAGCGCTGGACGAAGCCCTCGCGAGGAGAGCGTTTGTAGTACGAGGGACGGCCTTAGTAAAGATTATCGAGTTAGCATCTGTTCTGTGCGTTATCATGTAGAAATCATGGTAAGTAGCACGTACTGCTTCCAAACAGGCTGGAACGGCTGTTGTTGCCGCCGCCCAGGCCAAAGAACGAGCCCTTGGAGCTGCTGTGCCTGCGGTGGCCGCTCTCGCCGCCAAAGATTCCGCCGCGGTTCCGGGAGCGCGACCTGTCTCTGTCCCTGTCACGATCGCGATCTCGAGATCGGTCTCGGGACCGGGATCGCGACGGCGAGTGCGAGTGCGAGCGGCGCTTCTTGTGGCGGCTGCTCCTCGCGTGGTGACGAGATGAGCGGCCACTCTGGCTGACGGCGTCGCCGTACTGGTCGAGCAGGCTTGAAGAGCCCATGACTGGCGATTCAGGAAGGTTTTGGTTTCGGGTCCCTTGTTTTGTTCTAAATTGCGCGAAGCATAAATAAACTGACTTTGACGGGCGGGCGAGGCTCAGCTGAGATTCAGGCGCATTTGGTGTTTTGAGAAACGAGATGGTTTGTTGTTTTAGATGAGAGACGCTGTGTTCCCTCAAAGACGCGGTACTGGCTGAGTACCTCTAGCTAACAAGGTAGTACAGGACAGTAGAGCGCGGCTTAATAAAGAATGGATGCAATTAAAGCTCCTTATGCACGCTGAACAGAAAAGCAGCAGTACAAAAAAGCAAAGTAGATGAAAAGTAATAAAAAAGCAGGCTGGAGCGAAGAAAGAGGAGGGCCTTTACTAGAAGCAGTAAGAAAAGCAAGCTGCTGACTACGAGCTGAGTACCTGATGCAACAATGCCGGTACTTTTCCCCTCCCTTGTCCAGGCACTCCGTACTTGGTACCTTGTTTCGTCCCTGGAGCTTCTCCTTTGCGATATGCGCGCAGCGAGGCGGGATGCAGGATGCAGCAATGAGGTGCAGCTGAGCGAAGCTTTCAAGGACTGGAGATGAGATGCCTCTAGACTCTAGTCAGCAAGAAGCAAAGGTGGAGAGCGAGAGAAAAGGCGCCCTGACCGCCATAATTCGGGTGGCTGGGGGGTGCCGCAATCAAGGAAAAGTCAATCAAATGTCTCTTATTAGCCGCCCACAGTGAGACCTGTCGCGGACTTCGTACGGAGTACTAAGTGACTTTCGACTTAGGACTTGGATTAACACGAGCTGGACTTTGGCCCTGAAACGGTGCGGTCCCTGAAACATCCATACGAAGAAAAGGTGGCGCAGCAATCCTTGACGGGCCTTTCTACTTTTTAGCTGTCTGTCAAAAGGTGCTAATTGAGGTAGTTGGGCCGAAAAGTGCCAAGGAGCGAGAGCTGGTAGCGAGAAATAAGAGCACGTACTGCGTACCTTCAATTATACAGCGCTTTATGTCTGCAGATCCCAATACGAAGTACGGATTACGGCACATAATTATTGTACAGGGCCGGATTCTCGTACTGGGCGTTGAGTATTGCTACTTGTGAGATGCTTTGAGCATGTTTACAGTGCTACAGACCGCTTGCCTTTCTGAGAAGACGAATCTGAGTTTAGAATGTACCTATACTGCCATTCCTGTAAACCAGCCGGTTTCGCGCCACACTTGCTACGCCACACCCCAGATTTTAACCTCCAGAGTAATTGTGCTTCGTTCTTGCTTGATGAGTGACGGTCTGTTATTTCGTAGAATACTCGATCTATCAACCTGTGTTACATAATTGCTCTCTTAATTGATTCTCATGCTTTTGATCTAGACATATTCTATCAAGTCATCGAAGGAGCAGAAAGAAATTCTGGATCAAACAGAACAACCCATAATCTACCGCCAAAATGTCCGGTGAAGACGATGAAGACGATTACATGAACATGACGTTCCAAGATCCAACTCCCGCCAAAGAATCCTCGGTTCAGCGAGCTCAACGGCTGAAAAAGGAATCACGCGCCCGTGGCATCATAAAATCCAAAGCACAGCTCGCCCAGGAAGAAGTTGCCGCAAGAGAAAAGGCACTCTCAACCTCCATGCTTGAAGATCCGCGTTCAAAGAAGAGCAAAGGCCTTGCCATGATGGCTAAAATGGGCTTCAAGGGTGGTGGTCTGGGAAAAAAGGCAGAAGACGGCGAATCCTCTGGCAAATCAGAGCCTATCAAGATCAGTATGAAGGAGGATCGCGGTGGCATTGGCATGGATAGCGAGAAGAAGAGGAAGCTTCAAGAAGCCTTTGAAGAGAGGGATATCAAGACTGTCAAGATCGATCCTTTGGAGTACCGTGAGAGGATGCGAATAGAAAGAGAGGATGCTAGGCTGGAATCACAACTGCATGCTGCACAACGAACGGCGGAGAGACTGGATGATGAGAAAGCTGGCTCAGGTACGAATGAGCACTCATCAGAAGAAGAAGCTTCAACTCCAAAGTCTAAACCACTATCATCACGACCGCTCAAGTCTATTCCTGTGCTTTATCGCGGCTTGATTCGGCATCGTGAAGAAAAGGAGCGTGATCGACGAATGAGGTACGACCTGGAGCAGTCTCTTTCGCGGTTACCGACGTATGAGAATGACGATGAGGATGAGGACGATAAGAAAGCTCTGGGCAAGAAACAAGTTATATACTCAACTGCGGATGACTTGGATGAGGAAGATGAGGAACTGGACGAATTTAATGCACTTGAACCTGGCACTAGACTAAGTCGTCTAGTTATGTACTTGCGGGAGACACATAACTATTGTTTCTGGTGTAAAATGGCATATCCAGATGCAGAAATGGACGGTTGTCCCGGTATAACAGAGGAGGACCACGATTGATACATTGGGAGGATAGGAGTTTATCTAGACTCTCATAGCTATTTCTTTGCTGTGCTATATTAGCGTATTAGTATTTGCTGCTGTCTCCTTCGTCCTGTACTATCTCATCGTGTTAGGCAGACAAGTGATTTTGTATGACTTATGATGCACAATGCTGGAGAGCTATGCCCTTCTGTCTTAATGGTCAAGAGAAAGGCAGTCTCTTGCTTTAGTATTTCTCACTACCACCTTCGAATTCCATCTCCCCATAATTTTATCTATCGACTTTCTCCAACTTTCGAGAAATCCATTCCCAATTTTGTTCCCGTTCATTTCCATTGTGATCCCGAAAGCGCAACCGTGGATTCCCGTAGCAGTTTCTGCTCTCTTGCAAATTGAACCCTCAAGAATCATCTATCACCTCTATCATCTTCATCTTCATCGTCATCCTCTTCAATATCGTCGCCATCTTCACCATTTTCATCGTAATCCTCTGTAAGAGCCACCCGAGATTTACAAAGGACCATGCTGCTGTCGAATTTCTCCCCGTCGGCAGTCCCAAATTTCACTAGGGCAGGAGCTTCGACGAACTTAACAAAGGAGTTGGACACATCGGCATCATTGTCGTATTGAATGGATGCCATACGATTCTGGTCGTAAGGAGTGAGCTTCTTGCCATCATCATCTCCACACCAAACCATTAAGAAAATAGCCTTTGATTTCATCATCATGAAATGAAAGTCGGCCGCTTTTGTAATCAATCTCTTCATCTCATTCTTGAAATGGTTCGTCTTTGAGTTTGGTATAAAAGGATCAAGTCGCTTCGTGACTTTGCTAATAAGCACTTCCATAGCTTCGATATTGATGTGATCCTCGTCACTAAGGTCTGCAACCGCTCTGGACTTGATCTGGCTAATAATCCGGAGGTATTTGGTGTCGTTTTTGTGCTTAAAATCTGCACAGAAATAAAATATGTTAATAAGCTAAATATTTGACTGGAAATGGAAAATGCGATGAGATAAATACTTACTCCTCAAAAACAGACTCTGTGTCAAGGTATCGCCAATCACTCCCTGCCAGATGGATTCTTTCCCCGAAAATACAGGGAGTATTGCAGTCTTCCATACAGCTCGTCGAAGAATACAGGTGCGCAAAGTTGACATATCGTCTATGGATAAGAGCTGGCGCTCCATCACCAATGACTCGAGAATCGTATCTTGATCAGCTGGGATCTTAGTGAGGCACTGAGAGACAAGGTCGCGGATATTGTAAGATAACACCAGCCAACCCTCCTTGATGTCCGAATCTGGCACTTTGACGTATTTGCCAGAGTCTTTCTTCTCTGCTTCAAGAGCAGATGCAAGCTGATATCTCCACTCCCGGGAATCGTTCTTGAGCTGAGTTATCTTTTGGCCGTTCAATATTTCACTCTGCTTGTGAGCCTCTTGTGCTTGTTCAAGCGCCGATTTTAAGCCATTGACTTGGGCCTGAAGATTTTGGATTTCTGATCTGGCAGTTTCGAGATCATTTGCCTTGGCTCTATACTTCTCCATCAATCCGAGCGCTTCCTTCTCAAATTTCTTAATCTCGGTATTGGCTGAGGGCTTCGGGCCACGCTTTGCAGGCCTCGTAGGCTCACTTTCGTGATCATCATGGCTCCTTTTGCTAGATCTCACAATCAATCGCGTAGTTGGTGCCGGTCTTTGTTTTTGCTGCTCTGAGCTTGTTGGCTCTTGTTTACCCTCTTGTGAGCGCAACGCGCGGGGAGTCTTCTTTTGTGTAACGTTTGGCTTCTTTGCTGGTATGTCCCCCTTGGAGCCCATGTATTCATCCCCTGCTTCATCAGTATCAGATGCGCTTCCAGAGTCGCCATTACTGCGTTCCTTATAGTTAGGCCGTTTGTCCCCACTGCGTCGACGGGACGGAGTCTTGGCTGGTTGGGCTTCATTCTCCGTTTGCGAGCGGTCTAGATTATCTGGCACGGGATTAGCATGAATCTGACCTTTGTAATAAGATATCCAAGTTGGGAAGGGATAATATTGGAGCAGGGGATTTATTACCACCTCCTTCGTCATGAATTTTGATGACTGTTGGCGACATCGCGCTATCTGCAGAGGAGAGAAGAGTTGACTCGGAACTGCGTCGAGAACAAAATCTCGCGAGAATGAAGAAAAGAAGAGAAAAAAAGAAGGAGATGGAAATGAGTGGAAAGAAAAAGAATTAAAGAAGATCAAAAGTACTGCGCAGAACTATGTGTGCACCGCTTTCGCTCTGCCAGATATCTGCCAGCTGGCACTGCCAGTGCATCATCCGCTCCCTCACTTTAACACTTCACCTCAATTCACTGCCGCTCTACTTTTGCTTCACCCTTCTTCTTTCCAGTTGGAGAGAAACTACAATCATCCCTTAAATTTCCCACCTGCGGATATCTTGCGCATCCATCATATCCTGGAGTCTGAGTGCATCTCCTCTCTAGACGACGATACTCGAGTTGATGAGCATCCTCCATGCCTCGACCTACGCGCACCCGCAGAGGTGCTGGAAGAGAGACGCGTCACCTTCCAGAGACTGATCCTTCAGTTATTATAGGCATAGACTTTGGAACCACGTAAGTTGATCGCATCATGATGATGACTCTGATGCTGACCTGCGTAGCTTTTCGGGCGTGGCATGGGCTAGGTCAACTCGACCAGAGCAAATCAGCATAATAACAAGCTGGAAGACTTCTCTCAACTTCAACAGCGACAAGGAAAAAGTCCCAACTTCTATCTCGTATAGGGGCAAAGATGAAACACCTGCCTGGGGCTATGCAGCTCCTATTGGCGAGTCTTCCTTGAAATGGTTCAAGCTTTGCCTTCTCGAAAGAGAAGATATACCAGATTACTTACGACATTCGAAGAATCTCCAAACAGCGAGAGCTTCTTTGGAAAAATTGGGCATCCATGCTGTGGATGTCATCAGTGATTATCTGCGGGAGCTATGGAACCATAGCCTTGGCTGCATCGAGCGAGCCGAAGGGTCTTCCATGATGAATCTTTCTTCGCTGAAGGTCATCGTTACACTCCCAGCCATTTGGCCTGCATACGCTCAGTTCAGAATGAAGGAAGCCATTGAAAAGGCTGGGATTATGAACTTTCGAAGCACTGCTGACACGACCCTGGATTTCATCTCGGAGCCCGAGGCTGCAGCTCTAGCTAGCTTGCGAGACATGTCCGATAGGGTAGACATAAAAGTAAGGAAACCTAATCGTGTTGAGTTTGGCTTTGAGACGCTAATGAGATCGTATCCCCAGACTGGCGATCACTTTGTTGTTTGCGATGCTGGCGGAGGCACTGTGGTTAGTGATTCGCAGATGAATCTTCGACTTACGAGATAGCTTATACTACATAGGACATAATTACCTATACGGTGACAAGTAAAGATCCCATGAAGGTCAAAGAAAGTGTTAGGGGAGATGGTAAGACATCCCTCCTCTTTTTTGCCTATACAACTAACGCCATACACAGGAAAGCTATGCGGTGCTACCTTTGTGGACGAGCGTTTCCGACTTCTTCTCAAAGCCAAGATTCCTCTGCCTTCTTGGGAAAGACTCGGGGAAGATGGCGTAGCGCGCCTCATGAATAACGAATGGGAAAACGGCATAAAGCCCCAGTTCACTAATGATGGTCGCAATTGGACTATCCAGATCCCCGTCTCGTCGCGGAAGAGAGATCACGACCAATTCAGTTGTCCAGAGATTACTATCACCAAGTAGGTTGGCCATAAGTTGGATGACAGTCTGAAACAAAAGGAGGGTGCTAACTACGCAAACAGCCAAGAAGTTGTTGACGTATTCAGGCCTATAATGAGCCAAATCGTGGAGCTCGTGATGACGCAAATCCAGGAAGTCAAGAGACGATACAAGAAGCTGCCTAAGGTACGAAAATTACTGAATTGTCATGATCCATAAAGCGTTAACCAGGGTTGTTAGTTTGTGATCTTGGTTGGTGGCTTTGGGCGATGCCAGCACCTGTATAGTTGCATGAAGCAGGGCTTAAAAGACAAAGTTGAGATTCTTCAAAGTTCTGGAGCACGGCCGTAAGTACAGATTCCTCTAGCAAGCGTTGATTAGAGCTGATCTGTTCCTCCTTGATGATATAGTTGGACGGCAGTCTGCCGCGGTGCAGCTCTTCGGGGCCTCGAGGGGTCTAGCAACACAGCAGAATCGGCAATCTGTTCCAGAATTGCGAGAGCGAGTTACGGCGCCATTTACAATGTGACACCATGGTCCGAAAAAGAGCATGATATACGAGATAAAGAATGGTGCCCTGTCACCCAAGTCCATATTGCCGCTGATCAAGCTGCCTGGTTTCTGCGCATCGTGAGTCACTACATGTACGCTGATAACGGGAAATGCTAATGTTTATTAAGGGTGATACTATTAAAGTGGGCAAACCCGTTGAAGAGCAGTTTCATCAAGACTTTGACGAGCCGGTGGATAACATTTCCACGTGTCTTATCTACTCTAATGCCCTCAACCCGTCGGTCAGATGTGACGACACGGTCAAGGAACTCTGCCATATCCGATGGTCGAGTATTCCCAAGTATGACGATCTGCCTTCGTGGAAAAACTCCAAAGGCCAACTTGTCAAACGGCTCGACTACATCATCAAGATGACATCGAATGGCGTATCTCTAGATTTCGAGATTTCGTATCAAGGGAAAATCGTGGCGTCGAAGAACGTTGCGGTTGACTATAGTGAGAGTGGCGTGGCGGCTCGTCGCTCTGTTGAACAACACCTCTTTGTAGACAGTGATGATGATGATGACAGTGGTACCTATGTTCCACCTGATTCTGAAAGGTCTGAAGCACCAAACTGGGGAAACCTAAACTGGAACGACCACATCGCATCCAGGATCCCAGGCATGTGAGCTGAACAGAGCTAAGTTCTCGGTTACGAAATTGCTAGAAGGGATCGTTTATCGAAACAAAAATTTGCTGAGAGAATTTTTGGTATGAACAAATTAATGGCCTGATTTTGGCCATATGTTACTCTACCATAAGAGTACACGGTGAGCAGCATCTCCGCGAGGAAAATCTAGCTAGTATATGGACAAGATAAAGAAGATGCAATGGTACTGAAGTAAAAACCTCTTTCGTTATAAATGGGCAACACAAGTAAGATGATCGCTAACTTAAATCGTTTAGTATCGGGGCTGGGCCAGTAGCTGCTAATTTGTGAAATCGCGGACACATTCATAATCACAAGCCATCCCTAGATCTGCATGTAGATAGTAATAATTTCAGAGCTGATTTATGTTTGTTAGATATTCTTCTTGATGTCTTTTACTTTTAGATAGCTATCTTTGTGCCATTATTGGCCGTTCCACCAACGAAAAGCGCCCTGCCAAGCAGCGGTAAAAGAAAAAGCCATTCTGGTTCCAAGCTCGTTAATCATGTGTCCCAACGTCACCTCAAGCCAATGTCCTTACGATGATGATTCGTCCCAAGCAGATGTACTGGGCTCACTCTTGCCATCCCATTCAAACACAGATTGTTTGCATATGACCATGGCAGAGTCGAAGTTTTCGCCGTCTCCATTTCCAATCTTCCACAAGGCCGGCGACTCGATCACTGCGAAAGTGTGTTCTGATGCATCATCACTGGCATCAACGCCGACGGACAATTCCATAGTCTCTGGGTCGTAACGATGATTATTGATTCCATCGTCACTCTGGTGCCACTCTATGACAAAGATGGCTTTGGACGTCATCATGGTGGTGTAGAGTTTCCACGCATCCGCGAATATGCTCTTCAGATCCTCTTGAAATTCGTTCAGCATCTTGTCTGCTACAATATTTTTGAAGTGAGCAACTGTGCCTTGAATCATCTCTACTCTTTTGAAATGGCTTTTAGGATCTGCCTCTTGTTCAAGGTCCGGGTCAAGAGCTGACTTTATTTTACTGATCATTTGGAGATACTGAGGACTGGGGAGTTTGTAGGGATCTGTTACAGAAGAGGCGTCAGCTGTTTCTTCTCCTCAAGATAGGAGGCAAGAAGTGAAAGTAGGTTCTTAAGGTATACCTAGATGCGCAATGCGGCGAGCCATTGACCCACCAATATATCCAAGGTGGCAACGACTATGGGGCGCGAAGATGTTGCAGTACAGATGACCCCAGAGCTGGCGTCGTTTGAGGCTGTCTCGTACAGCAAGGATTCGGCCAGCAGGTGTGGGCTGCGCGGGTATATGATACTCGATACCACCGACGGAGATCGTCTCGTCTTGAGGCCGCTCAGTAAAATAGTTACTGACGGTATTCTTGATCTTGTAAGATAACTGCCACCACATGCCCTTGATGGTGTCATCCGACGCCTTTTTTATGCCAAAATCTATCATATTCTGAAGGACAAGCTTTTCCATGTCATGAGTAAGTGCCTTGATCCTGTCACCGAGTATGCGACGGTTCTCTTCGTGCGATTTCTTTTCTTGCTGAACTTCTTCCTCATGTGATTTCTTTTCTTGCTTGATTTCTGCTTCGAGAGACTTGATTTTGATGCGTTGTCTTTCGAATTCAGCCTTGTAAGCATCCAGCAGATCACATACAGATTCAGGATCGCTCTTGGCTAGCTGACACAGAGTGTATGCCTTCCAATTCTCCACTCCTGGCGTAGCAGATGTGCGCGTTTTGGTATAATTCGTGGCCGACGCAAGTTCGTCCTCTTCCTCATCTTTTACTCGAATTCGCTTTCTGGTACGTGTATTCGGACCTTGGCTAATTGCCACTTGTCCTGAGCCAACCAATTGTTGGTTATTGCCACCGGAGTGGCAATTTTGAAGTACATTTTTCTCCTGTATCTTAGTCTTTGAAGCATTGTGGCCGGCCATTTCCCACTCTTCTTAGGTGTCAGCTTGTCATTTTTCATTCAACAAACGGAGAGAAGCAGGTTCAACCAAAAGATAGATCTGCAAGGTGGAAGTTCTCACCATTTTCGTTGGCGGCTGCGGGCATATTCGGTGGCATTGCTGATCGGTGCGCGCTGGAGAGGCTGGAAGATGGCTGAGGCTCTCCTGGGCGTGATGTATTCAAGCAAGAGGTTTGATCGAGGAATTCCGGATGAAATGGCATCTTATGTATGATGCCTTCGTCTTTTGAACCAGATTCTTGTGTTGAATGAAGGGTGTTGAAAAAAGCGTGCTGCTGAGTTCTGTTGCGAATTTTATCACCTCCTCCGTTTGATTCACTGATGTGGCAGTGATGCCTCAGGCTCTACTACGCAGGTATTAAAGGACAGGAAGTCTGCCAGGTGTAAATCTTCTCTCCTAACTCTGCTCACAACAGCACACACACAGAAACACCCATCTTCATCCACTGCGAGCACTTCTACCACTGAGAGCCCTGGCTCACAGGCAGCAATCATGCCTCAGTCCTATCAGACCCAAGCGGCCACCGATGGAGAAAAGAATCAAGAGCCCACGATTGTCATAGGCATAGACTTTGGTACAACGTAAGTCTATAGTGTCTTGACAAAGAGAACAAGAACATGACTGACTTTGTGCAGCTATTCAGGCGTGGCCTGGACCACTTCAAGCCGACCCGGCCACATCAACATAATAACGAACTGGGATGCCGTCAAGAATCACTGCAGTGACAAGGAAAAGGTCCCGAGCGTCATCCATTACGACGATAAAGGCGAGGTTTCTTGGGGTTACTCTGTTCCAGAGAAAGCATCTTCACTCAAGTTCCAGTGGTTCAAGCTTTGTCTCTTAGACGAGGGCGACATTCCTAAAGATCTTCGCAATGCAGCACAGATTCAAGCTGCTCAAAAATCTTTGAGGGAGTCGAACAAGCACGTCGAAGATGTTATCAGCGACTATCTACGGGAGCTATGGACGCATAGCATCACGAACATCAGGAGAGCCGTTGGTGGGCAGTTGGTGGACATTTCCAAGTTCAAGGTTGTTGTCACCATTCCTGCTATCTGGCCCTCCTATACTCAGCCTCGCATGATCCGGGCTATAAAGAAGGCCGGCATTCTGGAGTCTCGCATTGCTGGCGATACAGTCTTGAAGTTCATTACGGAACCAGAAGCAGCTGCTTTGGCTACGATAAACGACATGTGCACGTATAATAGCCGGCCGGATATGGAGGTGAGAACATTCCAGATGCAGAAAATTTGTTTCCACGAACTAACCACTCGACCAAGGTTGGAGACCATTTTATTGTTTGCGACGCTGGTGGAGGTACTGTAGTAAGTTCCCAAGAAATCATTTGAGCTCTTATCGTGGCTTACATTAAATCTAGGATGTCATCACCTACACCGTCATCCAAACTGATCCAATTCGAGTCGAAGAAAGCGTCAAGGGAGACGGTATAATGTCGCCCATCCCATGACGATCTACAGCAGCTAACACGGTGTATAGGAAAGCTTTGCGGTGCTACCTTCTTGGATGACTTTTTCCTAACGGCCCTTCGAAACAAAATTAACAAAATCTCTCCGAATGCTTTCAAAGTACTTGAAGAAAGTGGAGGGTTGAGTCGCATTATACATAACGATTGGGAGAATGGCATCAAACCTCAGTTTCGCAACACTAATCAACATTGGTTGGTTCAGATGCCGAGCAGCGGGTCGAACAGAAAAAGAACTCATGATCAATTCCGCTTCTCAGATATCAAGTTTAAGGCGTAAGTATTGCTAGGCGGGCGATTGAAGGCTGAGATTAATGGAGTTTGTGGATGCCGACTAACTTGTTGGCGAACAGCAAAGATGTCCAGGAGATCTTCACGCCAATAGTGGCTGAAATAGAGACCTTGATAACTATCCAAGCATCAACTGTCAAGATAAAGTACAAAAAGGAGCCCAAGGTATGACATTTGTATTGCTTTGTTACCAGTTACAACACTGATATTTTACCCAGTTCCTGGTCCTGGTCGGTGGATTTGGCAGGCAGCTGTTTCTTTACACTCGGCTTCAAGACCTACTGAACCGAAAGAAGGGCCAAAAAGAGAAGACCGAAATACTACAAGGCTCAGGCGCAGAACCGTAAGTGCTATTAATAATCTAGATTGGGAACTAATACTGATTTTTTTTTCCATGACTATATAGTTGGACAGCAGTCTGTCGTGGGGCTGTAATAAAGGGGCTCGAGCAGTCTGAGGATACGACCGCGCCCACAGTAAGCTCCAGAATAGCAAGGATGAGTTACGGCATGATTTATGATGATACATTATGGGATGCGAACAAGCATGATCCACGGGATAAACAATGGAGTAACATCCATCGGCAACAGATAGCTAAGAACCAAACATCTTGGTTTTTACGCATTGTGAGTCACCGCGCCAACATGGCCAAGTTCAATCAGAATTAACACACTGTGAAGGATGATATGATTTCTGTTGATGAGCCAGTCGTTAAACATTTTTATCACAACCTTGCGAAACCGACCGGAGAACTTAAGATCCAATTCATCTACTCAACCGCAACTACTCCATCAAAGAGATGCGATGAGACAGTCAAGCAACTCTGCGAATTGTACTGGTCAAGTGTCCCTGATTTCGATACCCTGCCTACTTGGATAAATCGTATAGGAAAAGTCATTAGGCGGGTTAGCTTTGATGTCAAGATGATATCAAACGGGGTAACTCTAGATTTTGAGATTATTTACAACGGCCAAGTCATGGCGTCAAAAAACTTCGGTATCGACTATACTGGCTGTGGTTCCACCGTGAATCAAGCACGAGGAGGCAATGACTCGGATGAAGACTCTAAAGACGATTGACACTCTGGGGACGATTGACACTCTGGTGAAGAGAATCGTTTCCCAGCGGATAATCTACTATTGATACCCGTATTGAGCTTGCTTGGGTGGCTATGGATGGAGGCGTTCTGGTTTCACAAAAAAGGAGAGGTTGCCTACAAGATATACTTGCAAGTTTGGCTTTTGCGTAGTTAGGGAAAAAAGGGCAATATTTGACAGTTCATCGAGATTTCAGGGGGGAATATCCCACACAAACAAGATAGCTCAAGACAAAATATGAAGTTGCTTAGTATTACGTCTAAAACACTTGACATTGCCATCTACATCACACTGGAGAACGATCAATCTCATAGCACGCTGAAAATTAACTATCTTGCTAGGCTCGCAATGCCACCCCCGTCTCAAAATGCTCGACATGGTCGTAAAATCAAACCGTCTCAATCTATGACCTCGGTATATACCTACACTCATAAGGGTATCTGATGAGGCCTCTTCCCGCCGGGCCAGTCAATAAATCACTAAAGACAAGGTACAGAAGCAAAGATGGAGCTGCGTTCATCACAAAAACCCCTTGGGCAAACCACACTTCCCTTCCCCAGCCATTCCATTCAAATATGCTGCACATATTCCATCGCCCTCACCCTCCTTTTCTTTTCGTTATTTTCATCCACCACGATCTCATCTCCTGTTAGGCAAAAGGCTGTTTCGCCCAAACGGCGCGCCAGAAAAGGCCGGTCCAGAGTTCCAGCCTTGGTTCACACTATTCCTAACAATGAGTGCTGCAGCTGCCGTCGCGGCCTGTCGTTCCTTCTGACGCTGTCTCTCCTTGAGATAGTTTGCCGCTTCGGGACGCATACGCAGGATTCGTAAGATCATATCGTCACTGGCATCTGCCTGCATCTCGCGTCTCTTCGCCTCCTTGGCCTTACGCATCGTGCCCAGATTGCGGCTCATCATGATACTCTTACCACGCCTGATGGTGCCCATACTTGCAAACGAGCCGGCCCCACCCAGAGATGCTCCCAAGCTTGATGGCACTGCCAGCCTGTTACTCGACTGGCTTTGCGGCTGATTCTGCTGCTGCAAAGCTTGCTGAGCTCGCTGTGCAGAGGCCGCAGCCATGCGCTCGGATTCCCGAATGAGATTGCTGGTATCTTCAAAGTAGAAGAAGTTCAGCGAGGCCAATTCGTGCCACTTAGGCGACTTGAGTACTTCGGCGGGAACTCCGAGTTGCTCGCCCGAGTGCTCATCCTTGGCGTTGAAGAAGACGAACAGCATTTCCAGCCAGTGATACACAATGTCGAGCTCTCTTCGCGAGAGAGGCTTTTGAGTCGACGGCTTTTCTGACAATGGTGGGACCAGAAGATTCTCAATCGTCATGAGGACATCCTTCCACAGACGAGTCATAACAGCTATCATTGTAGCGTCTGTTAGGGTCATCTTCATAATGGCAAAGTTGTCATCGAAATAAGAAAACAGATTGGTGAGAGCGCTCTCAATCTGCGCCTGGGTAGGCCCTGTCGAAGGGGTATTGGTGGACGTTCGCTTCTTCCACAGACTCGTAATCGATGCGCCTACGCCTCCAGACCCTATAAGGCTCCTAAGAGTCTCCAGCGACAGGGTTTCGTTAATTTGAACGGTGAGCTGAAGTTGGATTAGCCGGCCAGAATCCTGGTATACATAACACATAGAAACACAACATACCTTATCCGTAATTTTTCGAACCATGTCTCTTTCTGTGCGCTTTAGGTGGCGGAAAGCTTTTCCAAAGTGGAATACAATGTCATCACGCTCTCCCTCCATGCTGACTCTAATCAGCAGGCGGCCTTGTGAGTCCAGGTCCAGCCAGAACTCTCGGGGGAGATAGTCTCCAAAGTGGTTGGGGTCCAGCTTGAGAGAGGTTCGCCCGACGTAGTCATGATCTCCGAAAGTATCATAGTCCCATATCGTCGCAATGACGTTAACGGGTCCCTGGACTGTAATGTCAAACGATTCATCCCAGCGAGGGTTTAGGTTCCGGTGAATGATACGCGTCTTGTGAAGTCGCTTCTGATACTCGTCACCAAAGACGGCGTACGGGTCGCTATAGCCTGACGGATCGCAAGCTTTGAGATCCTCAGCCTCTACAACCTTGATGGTGAACGTATACTTGTTTGGCTTTCGTGTCTTCTTCTTAGGTCCATCTTTCTTTTCTAGCAAAGCCGCACAAGCCTCGACATTCATTGTCTTTTCTAACTTGTCAAGCTCTTGCATGGCATACTCGATGTTGTTGAGCTTAACAAAAGACTATGGGGGGGTTTAAGTTAGCCTGAACTATAAATGGACGAGTCACTGCATAAAATCATTGGAAGCTTACCTCTGGGAAGAACTGAAATGGTTCAGCCTTTTCCTTGTTGTTCCATGCGTCTTTGGCATACTGCATCCACTTCTCCTGGGTAGTTTGGGTTTGTGCTGCGAGCTCCTGGGCAGAGGGCCGATCCATTTCCTTTGCAAACTGTTGGTCAACCGTTTCGCAATACCGACCAATACCCGTGGAAAAGTTCTTTGCTAATGAGGTCATGAACCTGGCATGGTGCTCTGCATTAGCCCATTCCAGCTTGAAAACTTGATCTACTGTCTGGTTGAACAGCATGAACATGTCTATAATGGACACACTATGCCGTTGCGCGTCTCCGGGGATCTGATCTGGACTCTCTGTCCTAACTTGAAACTGATCTTGCTTGATTGCTTCATCTACAAAATCCGTCATCCGAGTCTCGGCCGAGTGTAGCCAGCGCCACACAAAGTCGACAAGTAAGTCTTCAATGTTAAAGGCAAAAGGTTCTTTGGGGAGGAACTCTTCGTGAATTCCGCGGATATCCTTCAGCTCTTTGTAGAGCTCAAAGCCGTCCTGGATGTCAATTTCCTCACCTCCCTCGCTGGCCCCTTGCATAATGATTTGGATGATGGCGCTTGCATCTTGTTCAAATTTCGGAAACACCTCATAGACCAAAATGCTCAACGGATCGACCCCCATGATGCTTGCAGTCTTTTTATATCGCTTTCGAATTCGGTCGCACACCTTGGACACTGCCTTGCCAAGTTTGACAACGTGAGCAAAGTCCCACTCTTCCTTTCGCTCTGGTATCTGTTTCTGCATATTTTCGTGATATATTTCCGTAGCTTTGTGGGCCAGACGCTCAGATAAGAGCTTCCTGAAGTCTTCCATCACCTCGGGTCGAGGAGAGAAAGTTGAGTCTTGACCAATGTGATTCTCTAAAAGATACATGACAGGTCCAATGTTTGGTGGCTTCACCTCGTAGCACCCTTCTAGGAGATCGTAAAGCTCTTGCAGCAGTGCATCGTGAAGAATGTGAAGAGTGTGCTGGTAAGCGGCAAAATCATGCATCGTCCAACGGCTAGGATCAAAATCGGTCAGGGGCGCGTTGTATTGATGTATATGGGGCGGCTTCTTGAGCTCCTGTGACGGAGACTTGATCATGTCAAAGACAGCATCAAGGTCTTCCGGGGCTATCTCTTTCTCAATGAATTGATTGGCGGCTGCTTCTAGGAGAACGACGAGTCGCGAGAACTGCGGGATGCGCCACCGGACACAAAGCTCATTCATCAGGTCCATGGACTTGTGTGACAGCGGCTGGTAGTCCATGTTGGGGTCGGCATGGATCTGATCAAACAGCATTGCTTGCTGAAGAATGAATTTGTAAAATGCCCTGGGGTTAGGGGGTGTAAACGTATATATCGTTTCATCTACGGTTCTGATACTGCTTGATTCGCCAATCGCTAAGGAACTTAGGCTGATGGATGGATCAAAGGCGAAGGAAGAGGAATCTGGGTCAGATATCACACGGCTCAGATCAGCATATGCCTGGTCATCTGCGTAAAGTGATCCCGGTCGACTCGGCAACGATTTATCGATGGGACCGGTTTTGGTTTTTGCCAACTCTGGCTTGGCAGTCAAGATATCCATCATCATCTGTGAGAGATGTGTAGCCTCGGATTTTTTCCACTCGGTAAAGCCATCTTCAACATCAAAATCATGACTGCTCAACGTGCCAGGTAGATTGGCATTAAGCCTAGTCTGGTATGATTTGAGATCTTTGAGAGCGGCCTCTTCTGTCCATACCTGACGGTTTGCGTTGAGTTCCTTCTGAACCTCTGAGAGGCCCATTCCAAAAATGCTTGCAACCACCTGCACCATGGGCATGTCCTTGACCTCGTAGCTCAGGGGCACAATCACTTCGATTGTGGTGCCCGTACCAGCAGTGCTGTTGCTGACCAGATCCTGATCGTTTCGAAGAAGCTTGGTCTCTAGATCTTTGAGCCTAGACATTAGTTCGGGTCGATCTCGGTCGTGGCCAAGGTCTTTCATGACATTTGCGGCAAGCCTCACGAACATGGCCAGGTGGCGGTCTGGGAGTAGCTTCCAGGAGTCGGATTCATCGTCAGCTGCCTTTCCTTTCTGGGCGGCTTTCGTCGCTGCAGAATAGAAGATCAAGACCAAGGGCTCAAACTTCCTTTCCTTTTCAATCGTCTTTCGAAATGTCTTCTCGGAGAACGCCGTATACGCCTCGGCAAAACTTCTTTTGACAGCAGCATCGCTGTAACCGGGCAGGGCCTCGCTGCCCCTCAACACACCACCCACACGATCGAGCAGCGCAGCGGCGAAGTTATGAGGGAGCTTGATGCTTGTGGAGGTTCCCGAGACGAAATCTTGCACGAGCTGTCCCACGCTGGTATGTGTTCGAGTAGGCACCTTTGGAGCCGGGACATATTGCTTTCGTTTGGCTTTGGGTTGCAACAGGTAGTGCAGATAGGCGGTGCGCAGCGTAAAGCTTCGAGCTTCGTCGGGGTCGACAGGATGCTGCGCTGAAGACTGAGGCCGCGATCTTCCCATGTCTTTGCTGCTATTGCTGTGCCCATGTTGAGGCTGGTACGACTGGCGGTGCGACGCTGACGACATGGCGACGCTCAGCAGGCAGAATGATGCCCAAGCCCACGGCGGATGCTAAGCCTCATAGCCGGACTGAATCTAAAAGGGGGGGTCGAGCAGGCAGCGGAGGCTCGAGGCGGCTAGTGGGCGACGCTTGAAGGAAGAGAAAGACAACAAAGGGCTGGACGGTGTTGCAGAGCTTCGTATCGAACTACGTGGTGTTGGGAAGAGAGGCCACTGCTAATTAGGATGGATGGAGGTTTGGTGGTGTAACTGACCTGTGGAGACAGCAGCGCCTGAACGTCATCTCCTGATGGTGCTCTTTTAAGCGCGAACCCCCCTGGAAGACATCCAAGCATGCGCCACGGGATGCGCAATCAGGAACCGGGCTTTTGTTGCAGAGGGGCGCTAAATCGTTTGACGGACGCAGTTGATGTCCATTGGATGTGCGAAGGGATACGAAGCAGAGTGCGACCCCACAGCCACTGATCTATAACGAGACATTGAGCACGGGTAATGACACGGGCTTATGCGATATTTACTGAGCCTTTGCTGGTCTGGTCGGGGCCTGGAGTCTTAATGAAAGTGTACATGCATTGTGATTGTGATACGAGTACATGCAGAGTTATCGAGAAGCTTTAACATGGAAATTCCGGGGTTGTCACATTGTTCTCGTTCAATTGGTTCAAGGGGACGATACGAACCAACTGGCACAAATTGCCCTTGGAAACCCCGCTTTGCTGTGCTTTGGAGGGGGTGTTTTAATTTGTAACTCCACGAAGATGACAGTCATGATACTGTAGTTGTATTGATTCTACCTAACCTAAGAATAGGTTCTGCCTTGAGTAAGTACAGTAGTGCAGTCTATGCCATCAGCCCCGTCGTTGCCGGTGTTGTAGATATTTTTACATCACGCACGCGCGTCGGATTCACATGCTCCCAGGGCACGTGTGAGGCTAGATAGATCTCGCCACCATCTTGCTTTGTCTCGTCTAGCACCCATGATGTTGTCAGTTAGTACCTTGAAGTTAGTGCGGAGAAGCTTAATGACATCAATCATTCCATAGCATTGATACTCAGGTAACTAGAAACAAAGCATTATCCAGCTTGAATAGAGTCCGGGATTACTCAATAGGTACCTAGTAGTAATCAAAAATTGTTGCATTGAACTTCTTTAGCCTACGGGTACCTCTACCATCCACGGAGTACCGCATGTTACCCGCCAGCGGCCAAGATCACCTGGAGTTCCTTTTACGCGGAAAAGAAATGCAATGAGTAAGACGATCTACCACCTAGATACTTTCTTGGCGGCAACGGCTCAACTGCTTGATCGCATTATCGATAGCCATTCAACCATTGCATCCAGTTCTCGTAAATCCCAGCCAGGCCCAACGCAAGCCTTTCGTGGCTCAGTCGGTTTGAACAAAGAACCTTGACCCAGCCAGCGCTAACAAAGAGGAGCTCAGATGGATGTTTATCTGTAACAGGCGCCTCCTTGAAGGCGTTTAGCGGTGCCTGGTAGCTGAAGCCACATCTCCACAGCCCTGCGCTCCAGGTCACCTTCAGTGGCCAAACCCAGCAGAGTTCCACCTGATACCCATTCAGCCATTATAGGCGCGTCTGTGGCCGCGGTATACTTCTGCAACATCCAAACTCTTTATTATTCACCTCCCCGACTTCTGCGTGCGGCTCGTCTTGTCGCCCTCCGAACTCTTCTCCTCTCCTCTCCCGCATCGCATCGATCGCAGTCTTGCAGCATTCAACCACCGCATACATTTGCTGTCATCACTTATTCCAAGCATTTATTGCGGCCTGTCTGATCGCTTCTGGCCTCCAGATGACGATCCGCTTCCCGCCTCGAGCCCCGCGCCATCTTCCCTTTGCCAGCTCGCTCGCCTCTCAGTATCGCCATTCCCCAGCTCCCGCTGCTGGCCTCCGCTGAGCTCCCGTCGCCATGGGCAATGTCAGTAGCAGACCCGACGATGGGTCGACTCTGTATCTCAGAGACCAGAATCGCCGTGCGTGCCATCCCTGACCAGATCTGCGACAGTTTGGCGTACTGACCTAAGCCTGCAGTGAGCATCACCTCGATTGTTGTTACGAACCCGCGGAAGCGCACTTCCATTCACATCACTCCCAACGCATTCCCGGCCAGCAGAGTGAGCGCCGCGCGACCTCCGGGCGACAGCAACCCCATAGAATTTGTCCAGGTTAGCCCTGCGCAATGTCTTTGTTTATCCCGCTCCTGAAGCTAACATTCCCGGGATCAGGACCCGGAGTCTTCCAACGGCAATGGACCGCCCAACTTCCTACTCAAGCTAAGCGGCGATGATGAGCTTATATTTACCTTCGCATTTGTTATCCGCCAGACGACGCAGCCCGCGCTATCGAACTCGCCAAATCTCGACGGCCAAACAGCGTCGACCGATACCAACATATCTGGCCTCACCTTTGTCTACGCTTCCACCTCAAAGGAAGTCGAGAACCTAGTCACCCGAGAGTTCCACGCCAATCCTAATTTGCATAAAAATGACAATGTGGCTCTCGTTGGGGATTATTCAACAAGCGGGAGCGCCGCGGTGTCCTTCGAATGGACGTGGAAATGGAAAGCTCCTAGTCGTCAGGAAGACAAAGGCGGTGGCTGGAGGAACTCTTGCAGCGTTCGTCGCATACCTCCTATTTCCCACGGGCTGTGAAGCTAACTGTCTCAAGTTTGTCGAGTACGATTCACGCGCTCACCGATTGCACACTCTCGCTGCTTTTTCATATTGGGTTTCAAGTATGCTCGGCCGGTTAAAGTTGCAAAGTCTTCTTGTTGCTGACAAACCTCTTTTCAGGTTCATACACAACACCAACTCAGCCCAGCTCCCCCTCGGCACCGTTCCTTTTGGCGTCACCACCCAAGATCCGAATTGCTTCAGCTCAATCGGTAGACTCTCGCCTCGCCGCCGCAGATATTGACGAGCAGCCGCTCTCCCCCTTGCTCACCCCTGGAGAGATGAACCTACCCCCTGTTCCGCAAACTAAAGAATCTGCAAAGGTAGACGTACAATGCGTTCCCAGGCCAGCCGAAGACGTTACTGTAGCCGACGATGGTCCTGTTTTCCGCGCCACACTGAAAGCACTTGAACAAAAGACCGGAAACATGCGCGCGCAGATGAAAAAGGTGTTAAAGAGAGCAGAACAAGTTCATACATCTCAGACCGAAGCCAACGAAGCGTTTGTCGCTTTCGTGGATGCGTTGCGCGAAGCCTCGTCTACGAATGCAAATGCCGTTCAGCCTGCGTTGGAGCACTACTTTGACAAGATTGCTCGAGAAATCCTGGCTTACGAACGCCAAAATACCGCGAATCTTCAGAAGATCATTATCGAACCCATTACCAAATTATATCAGTTTGATATTAAGCAAGCAGAAAATAAGAAGCGAGATTTCGAGGAAGAGAGCAAAGACTATTATGCCTATGTTTCACGATATCTTGGACAGCGTCAAGACTCAGTCAAGGCTAAGAAGCTTGCTGAAAGCGATTCTAAATATCAAAACAAGCGGCGAAATTTCGAGCTAAAGCGCTTTGACTACTCAAGTTTCGTCCAGGATCTCCATGGTGGTCGCAAAGACCAAGAGGTGTTGTCACATCTGACAAAGTTTGCCGATGCACAAGCGGGTTCATTTTTGTCTACAGCGCAAAAGATTGAAAATCTTCGCCCCCAGCTTGTTGCTCTGGCAAACGAGGTCCAAGAGGCCGACAAGGAATACCAATACCAGCGAAGGGAGCGCGAGGAGAAGCGGCGTCAACTAGAACAGAGCAACAAGACGTACACAGAACCGGAACAAGCCAGCCTCGGCAGCGCCGCAACTATAGTGGCAAACTCTAACAACAGCACAGCCCATACCTCAGATACGGAGCTTGGAAGAGCTGAAAGCACGGGCTCTCAGCTCAAGCCTTCGACCTCGAGCGGCGCTGTGCAAACAACTGCGACTATTCCCGCACCTGCAGATATCGGCCAAGCCTCGGCTATCGGCAGCCCCAGCCAGAGTTCAAAGTTCAAAGGCATCCGTGATCTTGAGGACCAGAGTAGCTTACAATCAAACTTATCACAGAGAAAGGAAGGTCTTCTCTGGGCATTGAACCGGCCAGGCGGGCACGTTGACCCTCGCAACTTGAACAAGCAGGGATGGCACAAGTATGTAACCCACCTCCCTAGGTTGACTGATTGTTGGGCATGCACACTAACACAGCATACAGATTTTGGATCGTTCTAGATCAGGGTAAACTGTCCGAATACAGTAATTGGAAGCAGAAGTTGGATCTCCACATGGACCCCATTGACCTCCGCATGGCTTCGGTCCGCGAAGCCAGAAATGCCGAGCGGCGATTTTGTTTCGAGGTCATCACGCCCAATTTTAAGCGTGTGTATCAAGCAACGTCCGAGGAGGATATGAACAGCTGGATTTTGTCCATCAACAATGCTCTGCAGAGCGCCGTGGAGGGCCGAGCTTACCGGGATCGACAAGCAACATCAAGGGGATCTGATTCTTCTCTTAAGAGGGACATCGGCTCCGTTCTCACTGGCAAAATTCAATCCGTTCATGGCTCCCACCACTCGCATCACTCCAATGCCAATAGCGGGGTTCCGTTCCGAAGAACAACGGTTGGCGCACGGCCCAGTCCAGTGCGGATGCCCAGCTCGACTTACGATGAGCATCCAGACAGGCTATTGCAGATGTTGCGAGATAATGACCAAGGAAACTGCTACTGTGCTGACTGCGGCTCGGATATCAAGGTTGAGTGGGTATCGATCAATCTGGGCATTATTCTTTGCATCGAATGCGGCGGCATCCATCGTTCGCTAGGAACGCACGTCAGCAAGATACGCTCCCTCACTCTGGATATCAAGTCCTTTACTCTCGATATTGTCGAAATGCTCCTCCTCGTCGGTAACCGAGTGTCCAACATGGTCTGGGAAGCTAAGCTTGACCAGACTCAAAAGCTAGGAGCGCAAGCAAACCGCGAGCGACGCTTAAGATACATCACTGCGAAATATGTGGAACGCGCATTTGTCGATCCTATTTCGCCGACACTTTCACGATATGCCTCAGCGGACGAAACTTTGTTGGCTGCTATTAAGAAGAACGAGATCCAGCAAGTGCTCTACGCTTTGGCGCTGGGGGCGAACCCAAATGTTGTGGACAAGATGCGAGGGACGCACGCTGTGTGGCTAGCGCTTGCGGCCGCCGACCCAGCCTCACCGTCTCCCATTCCTGGGCAAAGCTCAACAGACTCTGAGAACAAGCCGGTGCCTTTCCCCGTAGCCGAACTGTTGATTCAGAATGGCGCGGAAATCCCAGCATCTCTTCCGGCATTCCCGCTCGGAAGGTACGCGCAGCAATATTACGAGCAGAAGAAGGGCAAAGGGTTCACCATTGGCGGCAACGATACGGTGCCCTCGTTACCCACCAGCGGCAGCAGCTCCGCTGATAGGCTTCTAAAAGACAAGGAAGTTCGTCTTCAGAAGCGAGTTAGTGCAGGGGGGAGGCTGGCAAGGTCGCCCATCCCGGAAAAATAGGAGCCCAAATTCTGGGATCGATTGGCGGGATTCACGCTATGCTATCAAATGTACGAGGCACATTGGCTCCGCAGCTTCAGATGAGCTAGTGGCATCGATTCTACGCATGTGCATTTGCTTTGATGATGGACATCATTATTATTGTTATCTGGCTTTTCTTTTCAAGTGGAGCGGCCTGGTGTGATGCGACGTGATGCGGTGACTCGGGGTGGCCTGGCGTTCTTGGAGCAGTGTCTTGACGACTGGAAAGAGAAGCTATATGAAGATTTGCACGAGCCGATATGATTACGATGGAAAAAGGCTCGATAATGGGTGCCCAAGCGTTTTTTTCTGGAGAAATACGGTTAGAGGGCCACGGGAGTGTAATATTGGAAAGGTATACTTGTGCTGGGTAGTAGGAAAACTAGTGATTAATGATTAATGGAAACATGAGATGGGGGAGAAAGCTCCAATGTTACGGCTGGAAAAAGAGGGTATCAGAGATAGATAGCAAACAAGTTAGCTATACTTTACGCTGCATCGGCATCTTGGCTATCTGATAATGGAGACGAAAGAGTTGGTTCGTACTGCAAACCGCATGGGCTCTCATCATATGTGAACGTGTTGACTTGTAGTAGCCAGGGATGTTTCCAATACTAGCAAATTCTTGTGCAACTCGACAAAAGTAGGTGCGTCCTGCTGAAGCGTCTACTGACTTCATTTTGCCACAAACCTAGGGCGTGACACCGACGCTTTCATGTTCACGCTGAAAAAAGGCGTGATGTGATCCAAGCAGTTTGAACATAACGGGCCATGCGCCCTCCGGTATCGTTATCGTGACTGAGGCTGAGAAGGACTTACAAGGTCATGGAAATGGGGACCTCGTGTATCTCTCAAGTGAAGGAAGTGGCTGTGGCAGGTGACTATCTAGCAAGGGAGCGGGGACTGATGCCTCGAAGGCAGCCTTGCAAGTTGCAGGGAATTAAATGGCGAGCAAGTCATTTGCCGGCATGTGAGTGCGAGATACATGGGAGCTATGTACAAATATGATCGAGACTTTAGTTTGTCTGTCAAACGCCATGCAGACGGCTAGGCCATGTGAAATACGAAACTTAATATCATCCCAAGCTCAGAGAGGTACAAAATCTGCCTACAAGAACAGAGATGGTGCTCAACCACAGCTGAGATATTCTGATGTCCTTGCAGCTACGAAAAATCACTGGGCTGACCTACCAAAGAAAGGCCTTTCCATTTCCATTAGCACCATGAATTTTTAATCCTCCCATGACAGTGTAATAAGTCAGCTGGTCCGCGCACCAAGAGAGCACCAGACGCAAGGCACGGCAGGTACCTCTTACTTGCATGGAACTCCCCAAGCTGCCTTAATGGTAGCACCATACCTTAATTGCTTAGCACGCCCTAGCACCGCCCGGTAATCGAGCTGTGACTCAAAAGTACCTCTTACTTCTCATCTCCCGTGCCACTTCCCATCGGACAGGTACCGCTACCAGAGGGTGTCTCAGCGTCTCACCAGGTGCTGTAGCGGGTCCCAAGTGCAGTGACAAAGTGCTTCCCTTCTAGGCTCCCAGCCCAGTTTCTCACATCCTGGACATATTATTCACGGTAATATTAGGTATACGAGGAACAAGCATCGCCCAACCACCAAGCAGTCTTCAAACATCAGTGAATCCCCCTCGCCTGAGGATTATCCAAAGCCAATATTCGGCGCCTCCGATCAGCGCTTCGGAGGACCATGGCGCACCGAAGCGAAAAGAGCCAATTGAAACGGCCTCGCGTACGTCCTCTGGCCGCCGACGCCCCGTCACTGCACCGGCAACTCTTCGTGATCCATTGGCATCGTTGCTAACCTCTCTCTCGCAGGGCTCGCTGCCGGAAGATGGTACAGACTCGAAGAAGCCCCGTAGGTCCGACCGCTTGGCCCACGCCGACCCGGACAAGACTCCCGTGTCGCGCGAGCATCAGCTGCCGTCGCCCGTCACAAACAATGCCACCGAGGGCTCGACCGAGCTTCCCCAGGAGCACACGGCGACTCCTCCCGTAGCCGTGGCCGACGAGCTCACTCCCAGGAAGGCTCCCGATAGCTTGGGCCAGAGCCAGGCGCTGTCGTCTCCGCCGCAGGACACGCAGCCACTCAGCCAATTCATCGACCGGCACCCGGCTTTCTCTGACGATGTTGTGGACGAGATCAAGGAAGGTGTTTGGGGTTATCTAGTCCCTCTGGACCCTAAATATGGCGACAAGCCTTTGGTGCTCAAAAAACGCGTCTCATGTCCTCTTCCTGATACCGTGGAAGCTACCGCAGATGGCGCAGGGCAAGACAACAAGGATTCATCGGCCGTGAAGGAAGAAGAGGCATATGAGAAGACCAAAGTAAAGGGTGTTGCAGCTGGAGGGTACCTGATTGGACGTCACCCTGAGTGTGGTAAGATATACCTGGCAAGACTGGTGCCTAGTTTTGCTGTGGAGACCAGTCAATGCTAACGAATAGTCGATAGATGTGGTTGTCAGCGAAGGAGTCGTTTCCAACCGACATTGCCTTATTTTCGCGGAAAACGTCGGGACAGATACCGTAGCAGTTGTAGAAGACGTGTCGAGCAATGGAACGTACGTCAACGAGGCTCTCGTCGGGCGCAACCAGCGTCGCGAACTGGAGGACCAGGACGAAATTGCCGTTCACGGCAAAGCAAGATTTGTCTTCAGATATCCCCAGAGCCGGCAAACGAGCGCGTTTTCACAACAGTACACGCTCATGGAAAAGCTCGGAAAGGGCCACTTTGCAGAGGTTTATCTGTGTGTAGAGAAATCAACTGGCAAGCGATATGCCGTCAAGATCTTCACCAAGCATCCTGGCGCCAAGGAGGACAAGTCTAAGACCGAAGGCCTGCAGCAGGAGATTGGTGTTCTGATGGGCGTCAGCCATCCCAACGTTCTTTGCCTCAAAGATACATTTACTGAACGCGACCATGTTTACTTGGTCCTGGAGCTTGCTCCCGAAGGCGAGCTGTTTAACTACATCGTCAGGAAGCAGAAGCTCAGCGAAGACGAGTCGAGGAAACTGTTCCTTCAACTCTTCCAGGGCATCAAATATCTGGTAAGGCTCCTATGTTTTATAATATGCTTTCCTCGTCGCCATCATCAAAGCGTGTTTCTAATGCCCTTCCTCTCCTAGCATGATCGTAACATTGTACACCGAGACATTAAGCCAGAGAATATCCTGCTCGTGGACCAAAATTTGCATGTGAAGCTGGCCGATTTCGGATTGGCAAAGATTATCGGAGAAGAATCATTCACAACAACGCTTTGCGGAACTCCCAGCTATGTCGCCCCGGAAATTCTGGCCGATACTAAGAATCGAAAGTACACCAAAGCCGTTGACATTTGGTCTCTCGGCGTTGTGCTGTACATTTGCCTCTGTGGTTTCCCGCCTTTCTCTGATGAGCTTTTCTCACGGGACTTTCCTTTTACACTCTCTCAGCAAATTAAGAGCGGCCGATTTGATTATCCATCACCATACTGGGACTCAGTCGGTGACCCAGCTCGTAAGTTTCCAACTGTTCTAATAATAACATCTGCTTTAAGATTCCCCACCATATGCTAACTGAACTGCTCATAGTTGACTTGATCGATTGCATGCTAATCGTGGATCCGGAACGTCGTTACACTATCGACCAGTGCCTGAAGCACCCATGGCTCACAGCCGGTGCACCGGCTGTCAATGACAGCACCGGAGGGCTCGTGGGTGGTATCGAGGGATTGGAAGTTAACCGCCGAGCCCCTGTTAGAGAGAGAACCCTACTGGCAACACTCAACTCTGTATCAATTGCTGCTGAGATAGACGGCGGAAGCAAGGGAACCCCTATCAAGGTGTTTTCTAAGAACAAACACCGTACGGCAAATGCACCCCATGAAGCCGGGCCGGCACATCAGCGAGCACCTGACGAATTCATGGAATTAGGCGGCAAGGGAGACCAGCAGCTGTTTGGCGACGACACCGGGAGCATCTATCCTGCTGGTGATATCGCTGCGAAAAAGAAGCCAGCAGGTAAACCAAACGGCAAATAAACGAAGTGATGATCTTTTAGTTGGCAACAACGAGCTTTCTCTGCTCTGGCTGATTGTTTCAGTCAATCATCGGAGTCTTTGCGTGTACATATAGAACTGGCAAGTCGGTGTGGTCTTTGGTATGGGAGATATGGTCCGGATCCTTTTTTTTTCTTTCATTTGTTATTTTGCCCCTTTGTTGCGATTGCTGTTTTTCTACTTCAATGCTGCGCTTGTCTTTCGTTCGTTGGGATATTTGCGGACTGCATGACACGTTTGGGGGGCTGTAACGGAGACCAGCTGTCTCCTTTGGGCCTTTGGAAGGGTCCTATCTGGCCTCGTGAGCCAGGAAAAAAAGATTTGCGTTAGGGCAACAAGTAACTATAATAGCGATAACAAATAACAGCATCTTGCATCATATGGCCTTTGGGCTGAGACATTGCATATATGACTACTGATGGATACATTCAAACGTAAATATACATCAATATAGCGAATAATGTAACTTTATAATGCTATCCATATTAATAGATTGCGGAGATATAAATAGATTTAGGAGATACGGATGGAGATCAAACAAAAATTACTTTCCCATCTAGGATATGTATTCATTCCCTTGTCAGTTTGCAGTCCCGCTTATTTTGTCCACTGCTTGATATCGTGCTTTTACATCCTCCAGATCAAACTGCACGTGACACATCACATGGCCAGCACCACTGCAGCGTCACCGCCCTCGCTTAGCTCCCACACTTTGAGAGCGGCAGAAAAATCGGCGGGGTGGGCATTGTCGGATTGAGATTGACCACAGAGAAAGGAGGGAGAAAAACGGCTGACCCCACCACAGGGCTATTCAGGCGCCGACCCTGTCAAAGACGCTCAACTTCACATTTTGCGGTTGTCCAGTGCCACGCCCACGCCTACGTCCACGCCCCCGCTCGCCCTCTCGCCCTCATTCGATCGCAGGATCCAAGGCTCATCACCAAGCCGAGACGGGACGACGAGACGAGAACGAGAACCGCACGCGAGCGAATCGACAGTGTATCCGGTGTTTGGAACAGAGAAAGCAGGACGAGAAAAAAAGAGGCAAAATGCCGGGCGCCACGATCAACGGGCCGCAGCCCCAGCTGCTATTTGTCGATGGATCATTCGAGGATCTTGCCCGGGAGATGGCTGAGTACCTCAAGTCTGAGGATGCCAAGCAGCTCCTGAGCGGCGACAAGGAGGTTCCCAAGGAGGAGGTTCTGTCAAAGCTGGTCGCGGCCTCCAACGCCCTCACCACCGTGCCGGAGAAGGAGTTCACTGCCGCCTCGAACCTGATGATCCACCTCGCCATGCAGTCGTCCGACCCCAAGAAGCTGCTGCCCACCCTCTGCGCCAACCTCTCCAAGCCTGTCATCAGCTCGCCCGTCCACGGCGCCGCCCTAGCGCTGAATGCGCTCGTCACCATTTTCAACCTTCTCGAGCCCAATGACCCTGTCCGCGCCCGAGTCTTCATGGAGATCCTCAAGTTCATCAAGGTACACGGCATGTTTGATGGCCTGCGGACCTACCTGGAGAGGCTGCCGGAATGGATTGCGTCATGGGGAACCGATGCCGCCATGGAGAGGAAGATTTACGAGGACGTGGCTGATGTTGCCCTCGAGTCTGGAGAAGAAAAGTAAGAAAGAAACACATTGTTGCCCCAGATCACTTTTTGCGGAGCACGGTATGCTGACGATGGTGTCCCTATTTAGCACTGCCTACGAATTCATCCTCAAGGCCCTCCGGACCTTTGATGGCGAGGGTGTTGCTTCCGAAGATGCCCAGAAGCTGTCTCTCCGCGCCCTCAAGATGGCCATTGCCTCCAACACCCACTACCTCTTCCAGGACCTTCGCGCTATCCCCAGCGTCCAGGCGCTCAGCGACTCTCACCCCGTCTACTCCCAGCTTCTCGATATCTTTGCCGAGCAGGACCTTGAGGACTACAACGACTTCAACGACGAGCACAAGGGCTGGGTTGAGGAGCAGAAGCTGGACGGCGAGAAGTTGTACCGCAAGATGAGGCTCCTTACCTTTGCCAGCTTGGCTGCCGCTACCCCCAGCCGCGAGGTTGAGTATGCCAAGATCACCAAGGCGCTCCAGATCCCCTCGGAGGAGATTGAGACATGGGCCATTGATGTTATCCGAGCTGGTCTCGTGGAGGGCAAGCTGTCACAGCAGCGCCAGATGTTCCTTGTCCACAAGGTCACCTACCGTGTGTTCGGTCAGAAGCAGTACCAGGAGCTGGCCACCCGTGTCGACCACTGGCGATCAACCCTGCAGAACGTCCTCGGCGTTTTGCAGCAGGAGCAGGCCAACGCAAAGGCCGCCAAGGCGCGCGAGGTCCAGGAGCTGGAGCGAAAGCTAGCCAACGCCAGCACCGGAGGCCAGGAGGGCGGACGACGAAGACAGCCACAGCGCGAGAGGACAGATAACGACGACTAAAGCGTTGGTGGAACAGAACTGAATCGAACATAGGACAGCCAGAAGTTTAAAGGAGAGGGCTACAACAGAGAAAAATCAAAGGACTGGGGTTTTCTGGCATGGGAGGGAGATATTTGATCGTTTGTGTTAATAGTACATCGCTGGGAATCCGATATCACGAGCCGGAGGATATTGCGAATGGCGTAGCCGGTTTAGCATATGATGTTTTTGTTAGACTTTCCTAGTATTACGAGCCTAGGAGGGGGAAAAAAGCTATCGGTACAATAGAATTCCGAAAGAGAAAAAAATACTTAAAACATGAAAAGAATCAGGTTGATTTTGGAGTTTGATGTGGGCTAGACTGTTCTACTGCCGGATAGATACTCAGTAATATCTACCCCTTGTCAGAGAGGATTAAAGTCGTTATGTGAAGCAATATTGTATTTATATAGGGAGTTTGAGATTACTATTTATAACAAGACCCAAAGAGAAGATGGGTTGTGCGAGAGCGGGTTTGACAAAGAGCTAAACAACTCTCGCAGTAATTGTTTAGCAATACTGAACATGATTTTTGATATTACTATACGAAATCGAATACATCAAGATTAATGTTTAACTCAGCATCATACAAATAAGACGAAGCTGTATCGATAATCAGGAGTTGATGAATTGCCCATTTCCCCCTGAACGCATCACGTGACGTCGCGTCCTGCCATTTGGGGGGGTAATTTGCCATGCCTCCAATCTGCTCATTGCATAGACTTCTGTAATTGTTTCTTGTTGGGCATTATAATAAGGTACATATACAAGGTGTCTTTACTTTTCACAAGTCAATTGGCTTTCCTACTTCTCCTTTCTTCATTCCCTTCTTTCTCTCTTTACAGCTCACCTTTGCTTCTCGCCGAGACGTACTTTTACTTTTAGTTGATCACCTGGACTTTGCACGCTTCAACCTCTGGGACAACACAACAGCTGCTGGCATCAGCCCACCAAGACGAACCCTCCGGACTACTGTGCCTACGGATCGGACACCTGACACAACGATCAAAGGACCCCAAAAACGAACCAATGGCCTCCCCCATGTCGACCTCGTTGCGCCTCGCCAACCGCACTCTAGGCAAATCCGTCTCCACACGCGCAGCATCGTGCTCGTCACCGCTTTACAAGTCTCGCGTCTTCCGTCAACAGCGCTTTTACTCCTCGCAAGAACCTCGCACCGGCGGATCGCAAATCAAGTTCTGGCCTTTTCTTGCGCTTATTGGATTGGGTACGGCGGGATATATTCAACTGGCAAACACTCGTGTCAAAAGTGAGTGATGGTAGTTCCATGGGCCACGGATCTGGACCTTTGTTTCTTGGTTGCTGACAATTGCTTTTCTTTATTGCTACGTGAAGACATGCCTCCTCCCGCGACCGAAGTTGCCGCGCCTGCTGCGCAGCTTTCCCAGACCACGCCGGTCTTTGATCCCGCTGATGTGACTGTTGTCTTCGTGCTCGGCGGCCCGGGTGCTGGAAAGGGCACGCAATGCGCCAGGCTCGTTGCTGAGCAGGGCTTCACCCATCTCTCCGCCGGCGACCTATTGCGCGAGGAGCAGAACCGACCCGGCTCCCAGTTTGGCCAATTGATCAAGGACTACATCAAGGACGGCCTCATCGTCCCCATGGAAGTGACCATCAAGCTGCTCGAGAACGCCATGACCGACGCCCTCCGCCAAAAGGGCACCACCAAGGGCCGCTTCCTCATCGACGGCTTCCCCCGCAAGATGGACCAGGCGCACAAGTTTGAGGAGGCCGTCTGCCCCGCCAAGCTCGTCCTGTTCTTCGACTGCCCCGAGAAGGTGATGGAGGAGCGCCTACTGGAGCGTGGCAAGACGAGCGGCCGGACTGACGACAATGCCGAGAGCATCCGCAAGCGCTTCCGCACATTTGTCGAGACGAGCATGCCTGTTGTGAACTTTTACGAGGGCGAGGGCAAGGTCATCAAGGTTGATGCTACGCCTACTCCCGAGAACGTGTTTAAGACTACGAACAAGCTTCTTACAGAGAAGCTGGCTTCTTCTTAGAGGGGCCAAGAATTCTTGACCAGGGGTACAAGATGTGGAATGAGGGGGAGGGGCAGTTGCAGGGATGATGCGACGATGGGATTTATAGAATTGGTGTTTTTTTGGTTGGGAGAGGGATTAAAGACAGCGCACATCTTATGATAGACTGCGGGATGGGAGGGGAGCAAGGTAGAAAATGATTGGGATTCTTGTACTACAGCCGATCGACGGCATTTTATTATCATTATTATTATTACTGCCATTATGGCTGGCTATAGACCTGGAGCTGATATCCACCTCGTCAAATATTATCATGTAGAGTATAAAATAGCACATGTTATCATCGTGTATGTGCAGTAAGTAGGGAGAGTATTTCTTTCCTTTTTCCTCTCTCCCCTCGTATTTCAGCAAAGCTACGAAGAAGAAAATCATATTGTTATGTGTTCATGATCTACGAGTACGAAATACAGAGCACAGCAGACGGCAAAGCAAAGCCCTGGCAAGGCAGAATCCCGCATTGAAAACCAGGCCCCCCTTGCGATAAATGCACGCCGAGCCATAAAGGATGTTCAGCTTCGGCAGGCGGTCGAATCAAAACGGGGTTCGAAGCGCTTCCCCCAGCCTCGCTCTTTTGAGCGAGAGAGGGGCGCACACACGAAACACATGATGATCAGCCAACAAAATCCGGATCCTGTCGAGACAGCTGGATAACAGTGTGTTAGTTAGGGTATCTTGAAGCATACATGTGTACTGCCAGGTATTGATGTTATAGATATGTAGGCAGAATGATGGGGCAGCGCTGTAGATGATGCTGTTAAGTTTAGCCAGCGCAGGATAGTGCCGCCAGATCCCCCAGCGCTAGGGCATGGGAAGCTTTAAGTAGCCCGGGGATCCAACATCCTCCCGCTGTCAAAAACCGCCTAGTTCTCCATGCTCGAACTGTAGGTTAACACTTACTCCGTACTCCGTACATCATCTTCCATGACATTTCCCACGTGGAAAAGCAACGTTCTTATGGGTTTATGAGAGAAGCGTCCGTGCAGATTGCGGCACGGCCTCGTATTTTGATCTAGCGACTGTCTTTTTTGGCCTTTTCTGCTCCTTTTTGTTTTTTTTGGTGGTCGATTTGTTGGCGGTATCTCGATTGCGCTACAAGCTCACCTGGCTTTGGCTTTGGACGAGCTTCATTCAGTTGACAGAGTTTGGGGTTGGCGTCAATCCTGATCAATCTTCAGAGCCTCTTGCGCTCCCATGGCGGCGACGACACCTTCAAGCAATCGCTTCCATAACGTCTATCCTTCGACACCATCTTCCGAGAAGCGGAGGCTTAAGGGACTTTGGCAACGGAACGAGTGGTGGTGTATGCTGTCTCTCCTCTACTTCTTCTTGTTCTCCTCTCTCTCCATGACCACACCGCTTCATCCAAATCCCATAATCACTCTCATCTTATACATTCATTCCGTCTCACTCGAGAATTAGCAACGAAAAGTGGAAAGCGCTCAAGCAAGCTCACACATGACTCTCTACATCTAGGCAATTGTGACCCACGCGCAAAGGCCGTCCCGCGCACCGTCACAGCAGACACTTCCAACTTGGGTAAATCGTTCTGGGCTTGCCCTCTTCGTGGTTCGCACGGGTGCGGTTTTTTTCTTTGGTTCGAAGAGGCGAAGCTGCGAGAAATTAGTCTTTTTGGTGACCGGTCGGGTGCTACCCCGTCGAAGCAGCCGTCCTTCACGCAGACCCGCCTCACAGACATTGGGTTCGAGATTCTGGGAAGAGACAGACGGCGGAGCGATCCCGGGAACTTGTTGACCGGAGAGATGGATGACGAAGGAGAGGATGCGAAGCCTCCTCAGCAAGTGAGCTCGTCACAGCCAGAGGCGGAGACGGCATCAGACAAGGGCAAGGGCAAGGGCAAAGCAGTTGACACTGGCTCTGCTGGCTATGAGCCTCTTACTCCTGGCCCTAGCACTGGTGCCAAGCGCAAATATGATGTTTTTGCAGAAGACGACTTTGACGATCTGGGCTCGGATGAAGAGCGGCAGCTTGCCGACATGACGGATAAGAGCGTCGAGAAGTTTATCCGCTCGCAGGCCTACGACGACCTCAAGGCAGCTGATGGCCACGATGACGTTCTCGCCTCTTCTTCACGGCCAGTCGCCCGCACTCTCTTCCCCCAGGCACAGAGCTCGAAGCGCTCCAAATCTGTGTCCTTTGAAGAGCCAGAGGCGTTCCCTCCTACGCCGACCAAGAGCAAAGATGCTCAATCCTCGCCAACCAATACGCAGCAGACCACTCCTCCCAGCAGCATGGATCCTCCTCCTCCAACTGTCCCTTCGTCGGCAATGACGGCAACTCAGCTGAATGACGACGACGAGAGGGAGGACAGCGACGATGTTACCGAGCAAATCATGGGTCTTCTCCAAACGCAATCAATCAAGCCGTCCGTCCTCGAATCCGTTCGCAACATTCTCGCCACGTCTACTCGACGGACCAGGGGCATCGCCATGGGCAGAGATTCTGCTCGGGCAGCCCTTGACGAAAAGAAGGTTAAGATTGTGAGGTTGCAAGAGCGCATTGAGGTGCTCGAGAATGAAAAGCAGTCTTTGAACGGCCAGATTACGAATATCAAGGCCAGTTTAATGAAGATGTACGAGGACAATTGACATTGATCCTCTTGTTTCCTTTGGGGATTTCGGAGTTTCGGAGTTTCGGGTGTGCATTTGGGCTTTTTGTGTCAAATTATCACAATACCATGTCATGTCAGATCCTTTCACGATATCTAGCGTTGGAAATGAGCAAATTCCCTTTTTTATGCTTTCGAATGGGAAGCAGTGTCTCCTTTCTATTTTGTGCTTTGAGATCAAGAGTGTCCCAGTCTGTTATCAGTCCTGACTTCGTTCTCTTACACCAGCATATGATTTCTACGACTACGATTTCACGACTACGGAAGTTTCTTCCTGCATGGCATTATCCTCCATAGAGCGCAAGCCTGCCCAGGGCATGTAAGAAGAGCCATCGGCATTAAGGAGTAAAATTGTATAAGCAAAGGTCAGTCAGTCGGGTGAGCCATGGTGAATTGAACCGTAATCTTCCCCCAATACGCTTCCAACAAGCAATACTCCTTGACTCCATTTCCAACTGCCGCGCGTTGCCGCCTCACGATCCTGGTAAAGCTTATACTGTCGGCCGCAAGGGGTAGGAAGCAATCCTACTCGCCTAAGGCCATACCTGTACATGAAACTATCGAAGCCGTTAAGCCCAAAGGAGGCTTTCTATTGTGGTGGGAAGCTACCGCCGGGGCGTCTCCCCTTCGGGAGAAGATGGGACGGGGATGCATATTCTAACCAGTACAATGCTGGATTCGGCATACTTACAATGTCCATTGCCACTCTGTTCCGTCTACGGAAGTAGTATACAAATGCGAATTGCCACTCTCTTCCCGTCTACGGAAGCATATGAAACGCAGATCTGGCTACCTGATGGTGAACCAGATTCCGTGCCTGAGCAACAAAAACAGAACAAAACAAGGCAAAAGTCGAAGCAAATCAGCGCAGGGATCAAGGTTACATATTACATACATACATTCGCAAACGCACACTGATAAACGCAACTTGACTGCTGCCTTATCCGAAACTGCAGAATGGCTAAAAAAAAAAAAAAAAAAAAAAAAAAATGATTTTTCGACAACGTCCATGGATGCCCATTGGGCTGCCACTGCCTTTGGCTCTTTGGCTCGGCAAACAACTCACACACACGCACACACATACATGGAGTGGCGTCCCATTTCGACCAGGGTATTCTCACCGAGTCGGTGGATTGCCGACGCCCTACTGGCCCGGGCTTTGCCTTGGGCTTTGCCTTGGGCTTTTTGTTCTGGCCTCTTTGTCGCCTCAAGAGACCTGTCAGTTTGTGACTTGTTGCCCAGCTTGGGGTTGCACGGAGATGAGTCTGGGCCACACCCGTTTTTTTTCTTGTTACGTGCTGCTGTAGTGTAAGAGCAGGTGGGTTGTACTGCTAAGATGGTGGTAGTAATGGTTACTCGTACTTCTCAGGTGAGGTACTAAATGTGAGAGAGTGTGAATGAATTGTCAACGACAACGAGGTCTCAGACAAGGGGGCCATGTGAGGAGAGGCAAAATGCTTGGCGAGTGGCGGTTTCACGATGGGCAACTCCGTATTATTTTCTTTTCTTTTTCTTCTCTCCCAAACATGCCTTTTCCCAATTCCTTCCCCCCTCATTTTTCCTTTTCCTTTTTTGTAAATGTACAGGCATTTATGCTGTGGTCATGCGGCAACCGTTGCGAGGGTTAGTGTTAGTGTCTTAGTCCCGTCCTCGAGTCGTCAGCCCTTTTTCCTTTTTTTTCCCGCGCCCAGAAGCCCGACATCAACGCAGCACAGGCATTTTTGCATGTACGAGTACGTTACGAGTAAGTACCGGCGATTTCGGCATCGGGCCCGAAGATGCGGCCTGCCTGATGCCAAGGGCCAAGGACCGGAGCGAGGGCCAATGAGCTGCATGTTCAGCTTCTTTGCCTGTATGTACATGTACGATATGTGCATGGAATGAGAGGCAGGGAAGAGGAAGAGGACCAGCGGGAAAAGAAAGACAAAGACCCTTGTCAAGCGGGGGGCGGATTCAGCGCCTGGGATGCTGTAGGTGATAATTTGCAACGGCAAGACTCGTAGTGCCCTCCATACTACTGTACCTTGTTAGTTAGTCGTCCGTCTGATAATCATCCATGTGGGAAAAAAGGCCACATCTAAAACGGCGGGACAGGCTCTCCGGGCCTCTCACTACCCCGAGTAAGGTAATTCAAGGGTTGTCGAGCAAACAGAAAGTAGCCCGTCATCCTTCGGGAACCCGCATGATTAGCGCCTGGCCGTCTGGGGGGGGGCTGAGAGGTTGCTGGGTCGCGGGTTAATGAAACACGGGCTCTGCGTTTATTTGGTGGTGATCGACACTTTTGCCCTCCAGCGTGAGGACTTTTTGGGGTGAGCCAATGGAGAAATGTGTCGAGCATCTCCATCAACGCGCCCCAGATTTCATCACCGCTCTAACGTTAGCACAAAAAGGGTCCATGGCACGTGCTGGTTGCCCTGCAATTTTGACATGTCGTGCCGTCATTCTGGTTTACATGATGTTTTTCTTGTCTGGGTGAAAGACAAAGACAGACACGGCTCTAGGCGATTTTTTTGGTCTGGAACCCCTACCCTGCAGGCCGGGAGAAAAAGGCGCAAAAAAACAAAAAAGAAACGAAAGCACAGCAAAAAGCAAGCCCGCCATACAAAACGCGCGCTATTCCAGACCTGTCAGCCAGTCCCCTTGTGGCATCCTGGCGGTTGACGTTACGGTAAAAGGGTCCAGTGGTGTCTTTTCCTCTCCGCCGCTATTGTTGCGGCACCTTCATTAGTTGACTAGCTGCTACCTGGCTTAGATGACGTCTGTGGCGGTCCTCTCCACAAAAAACGGAGACAGCGCGACTCTGGTGCTCCGTAATCCGTATTCCGTACATTGTACTGGTACTGGTACCTGTACCTGGTTGCTCGAAGAATGAATGAATGAGCGCTGTAACCGTACCTATTGTTGTCTCGCTGATGTTTCATTTCGTGTTATTCTTTGGCTTTTTCATGTTTGGCGGATTATCTGTCTCTGAATCTCACAGCACCGGCGACGTACTTAGATGCGTGAATACGGGGAGTGTGCTTGAAAAGCTATCCGACTAGAAGATTACGAAGAAGGAAAAAAGAAAGGAAATAAACGAAGGCATGAAGACAAATAAAAAGAAAAAAGAAATAAAGAAAGAAGCAGGTACTAGGCTACCCGTCAGCTACATGTACCTGTAGGTACTGTTGTTAGAGAAACGACAATGGCTGTCTCCCAAAGTACATGCAACATTGACTGCATGTCCGCTTGGGGAACTTCAGGTCCAATTACCTTCGTACACTCAAACAGGCCTCCGGGTAGCTGTGATAGCTGTTCCACATGCCTGATTCAAACCAGCACAGCTTCAACCTTCTTCCCTGAAGATCGGAACAGTTGGGCACTAACCAACTAACAGGTAAATCCCAGCTAGGACTCGTGTTGGATGGATGGCAACCACAGACTAAGTGGCTTGCACAAACATGTCACAGATAAAGGCACAGACTGTACAGTACAGAGTGCGGATGGGCAACGGAAGTGTTTCTGGCGGCCCGCGGCATGTTTAGGCAGCTGCAACACCCTCGGCCTTATTGAAAGACATCGGATCTCGATGGCCCCCCTATGACCTATGAGGCCCAGCTCTGTTAGTCCGGCCACCTCCTCACGTCAGAAAAGGGTCGAGACGCTGCGCTGCTTGAGGGCAAACGCTTCCAACGGCTGACAAGGCCCAAATACGAGCCTCGTGCCTCCGACGTCGAAGGAGCGGCAGAAAGGAAAGCTCGCGGGCATTAGAGCCGTGCCATGGCGTCTATGCTGGCACCTGATTAGCAGACGGGGTGGTTGGGCTGAAGCAAGGGAGAGATGGAGATGGGAAGCTCAATGCAAATCTCAGACCACGGCGCCAATGACACACACCGTCCATTTTGGCACTGGTCGCAGCTAATAGGATCTTATCCGACAGCTCTTTGCTTGGGTTGCTGCGGTTCCCGGCGTTTTCTTTTTTCTTTTTTTCCCAATTTTTTTTCTCTTTCTTTTCCCACCCGCTTTGTGAGCCGTCACCCATGCCGATGCAAGCGGCAGAATGGTCCGGGTGGCAAATTTGATAAGACCAGGAAAGAAATGGAATAGAAATGAGAAAGAAAGGAGAAGGAAAACGGATAAAGAGAGAAAGACGGGAACAGATGTCTAACTAATAACCTAGTCACAGGAATAGTTACCAATGCACGGATGCCGGCCCATTATTAGCAAAGCAGTGCATGGGCTCACTGCCGCCACGTTCAAGATTGACGCCAGAGCGGCTTTTTAATGGGGAGACCAGCCAGCTCGGTATTCTCACGGTTCGGTGAGAGGGTTTGAATCCTTCCTAGCTTCTTGGACCACTAGCAAAGGGCTTTTCTCCCTGTCTGGCTAGTCCATCTCGTAGTGTGCCGTCTTGACATGACCGCCTCAAGGAGCCATTGGGGAGTTGGTTTCTCCTCTTTTGGCCGATCATGGCCTTGCATTTCTGCCCAGATCAGACCATGCTTTTTTGTCTCATCTGTGTAAATCCAGACCGGCCACTGGCTGCAACGCCTGCACCCCATCGCATCCTCCTGACCTGCATCTGCTATTTCCCCTTCTCTCTTCCTTTACCCCCCGCGGCTCGAGAGAAGGCGAAAGCGTGAAAGCGATAGAGAGAAGGAAAAAAAAAAAGATGATCCACGTGCCGCTGAGGCCAAAGACTAGGATAGAAACCCCCCAGCCTTGGAGGAGCTGGTTTGCTTGCCGTCTGCTCAAACGCCTACCAGTACCGACATGGTCCAGAACTTGCTTCTACTGTATATCCTTGCAGGCATATCCTTGACACAGAGCCTCCAAAAGCCCGACTTACAAGTCATACAGAGTAGCGGTGCCTGGGCGATTTCAAATCCGTGCAAGCGATGGGACGTTTGTCAAGTAAGGGCACATACATTGTAGCGGACTGTCTGATCCTGTCTGTACGAGCATGCAAGGGAACAAAAGGAAAAGCGCCCAAAAGCAGCCGCCCACAGCGCCACACAATCTCTCCGCGCAAGATGCCGCTAAAAGAGTACCAGCTGAGGTACTAGGTACTATTTGACCGGTACGAGGCTCAGAGGCTTTTAGTGCTGCTCATGTTCCCAGACTTAAAGGGCACTAACAAGCACACTGAGGCCGCAAGTCGCATTTTTTAGAGGGCCAAGCAGCCAAGGGAGTTGCACAGACCGGACGATCATCGTAATATTTCTAACTTCTGGTCTGTACTTTCTGAGACGGCGGTTGGTCAGTGTGCCTTGGGCCGGCGCAGGGACTTGTGAAGGGTTCAGATGTGCATTTGATTTGATGTTGTAGGAGTACCTGTACCTGTACCTGTATGCTCCCCCGCCATTTTCTCTCTCTCTCCAGCTTTTGCCCTCTACGGAGTACACGACCGCAAGAGCCCAAGTCCTAGAACGACTCAGTTCAGCGGCTACCTGACATTAGTACCGCAGACCCCCCAACCAGCACCGGAGCTAATTGTACCTGCTACTTCGTCGGTACCTGCTGATGGAAATATACTCCTCCTCTTTTCCAACTGTCCCCCTGTCCGCCCAGATCTAGTCTTCTCCTCCCCATCTCTTCACCTCGAGACCATTTTGCACCGGGCGGTGGTGCAGTCCAAACTCCTCTGGAATCCCTACGTTAGTATTTTTCTTCCAAAATTCAAAACTCCCGCACCCCTTTGACGCCTGTCTGTGTTGTGCTCCCGTCGCCTCTGTGTGGTGCCCGCGACACGATCAATCAGACGGACGGGCAGAGTGTCCCTCTTGCGCTTGTTCTTGTCCCTGTCCCTGCTCTCTGTCCCCTGCTCTTCTTGCTCTTATTCCTGTTCCTGTTCCTGTTCCTGTTCTTGTCTTCTCGCTCTCTTGTCGGATCCCGAGTCATCCCAGCTTCTGCAATTTTCTTCCTCGCCCTCGTTGCTTCGAATGACTCTGGCACGCCCTTGATTCATCGCTTACTCGACCGAGTTCCCAGGTCCCGGCGCCTTTGACCTCGACTTCGCCCGCCGAGCTGCCGCAGTTCCCCGCCGCCGAAGACCAAAAAAAAAGCAGGGCCTCTTCCTTCTCGATTTTCATTTCCTACTCTTTATTTTATCTCGACGAATTTCTCTCTTACTCCCCATCTTTATTATCCTTGTCCCTCCCCGCCCGTCGCTTCGCAGCCTCCGCGATATTTCCTCTTTTCTCCCCTCTCTGGGGAACCCCCCAGCGCCCGGCATGATCGAAGATACGGCGGCACTCGCTGCGGCCGCAGAGCTCATCGCCTCGCTCGCCTGCGACCCTACTTCTACTTCCACGTCGATATCAGTAGGGCCCGGCTCTAGTATCAAGCTACCAGGCCGTGAGACCCCCGCAAAACGGACCCTAGAGATTGAGCTGGAGAAGCTCGCCCTTCGCGTTTCTCAGTTAGAGAGCAGAGCGTCTGTCTCGGCCACGGCCGTCTTCCCGGA